TATGTACTAGCATTTCTCTATCAAAGAACCTCTAATACTAAAGCAGATTCGACAAGAATTGCATAAGCATAAATCTAAGATAGCTAGCTCAAACATGCGCCGATATTCTAAATTTTCCTACCCATTATTTTAAAATACGTATGCACTAATACATCATTATAGACTATAGCTAAACCACGCACCCTTAGAAATCAAGCTTCAATTGTAAATGCTTGGCAAGCCCCCGCCTGCGCAATTTTCAAATGGTAAATGCTCCGACTTTATAATTTTTATTCACTTAAAAACGTAGCTCCAAATACACTTATAATTTTACGATGTTTAATATATGTATGTATTTATCATTATATGTATGTGTATGTGTATTGTTTATTATCATTATAATGTATATAGAACTTCGACATCGGTCGCTCAGCTAACGCCGATAATGCACGAATGATAAGTGAGGCTAATCTTTTAATATGTTTTGCGCCAATTACAAAAAATTCAATCTGATCCAAAGAAATGGTATCAAAACTTTTTAGTTTATATCCTTTATACGCTGATTTTGTAGTTGTAGTTGGTACTGCTACTGTGGTTGTTGTTGTTGTTGTCCTATGCATGTGCTGCTCTTGTTATTGTTACTGCTACTGCTGCTGCTGCTGCTGCTTCTGGCCTCTCTTTCGCCTCCAGGCGCTGAATGTTGTTTTAAAATTGTTTTGTTGCTTGGTTTTTTTTAGTTTCGTTTTTGTTGATCTTTTGTTTTTATAGGAGGAAAAATTCATTTAAAAAATTGTGTTTCTTTTTGTCTTGATTAAAACTAATAATCTAACTGTAAAGATCATCATCGCCATTGTCGCCCGGCGAGTTAACTGGCATATTGGTGCCAGACCCTGAGGTGTTGCCGGCATTACCGGGGAATCTGCAAATACCCAAAAGGAAGCGATTTTAAACAAGCAATTATACATAGTAGTTAGCGGAATGCTACCTGAAGTTCTGGCCAAAGCCGCGAGACTGTTGTAAAGTCTGAGCAAACATCTCGTATTTGCGTATGTCATTGTCCGAAACGGAGCGACGAGCAAACTTCATTGCCTCCTCAAAGTGAGCGCGTGTTATCTCCGGCACGGGATCATCCTCGTCCATCTATTAAATTACAATATAAATACAAATATTCGCAAATATTTTTTCTCTTCGACTTACATCCATGGCGGAGTTCTGGTTCTCGGCGCGATCCTTTTCACGGCGTATTTCAGCCTCGATAGCCTGGCGAATGGCCAGCTTGCAGGCACGCTGACAGATCTCAGTCAAGTCAGCGCCCGAGAAGCCCTGCGTTACCTTGGCAATGTACGTTAGATCCACTTCCTTGGCCAAAGGCGATTTGCGCAAATTGGCCTTTAGTATAGCTTCGCGTGACTTGTCATCGGGCAATGGAATATAGATCAATTGATCCAAGCGACCCGGACGCAAGATAGCCGGATCGATAATGTCTGGCCGATTGGTGGCACCAATAATAAACACATTCTTCTTGGCACCCATACCGTCCATTTCAGTTAGAATCTGATTGATCACACGATCTGCAGCACCACCAGCATCGCCGACATTACCACCACGTGCCTTGGCAATCGAGTCCAACTCATCGAAGAAGAGCACACATGGTGCAGCAGAACGAGCCTTGTCGAAAATGTCGCGTACATTGGCCTCAGATTCACCAAACCACATGGTCAACAACTCGGGTCCTTTCACCGAAATAAAGTTCGCCTGGCACTCGTTAGCAATGGCCTTGGCCAGTAGCGTCTTACCACAACCAGGTGGGCCGTAGAAAAGAACGCCACGACTGGGCTGCATGCCAAACTTAAGGAACTTGTCAGGATGCTCGACTGGATACTGCACGAGCTCCTGGAGCTCCTTCTTTACATTCTCCAATCCGCCAATATCTGTCCAGGTGGTGTTGGGCACCTCCACAACCGTTTCACGCAACGCCGATGGACTGGACTTGGTCATCGCATAGCGGAAGTTCTCCATGGTCACAGCCAGCGAAGCTAGTACTTCGGCATCGATTTTGTCATCCTCCAGATCAATTAGATCCATCTTTTCGCGGATTTGTTGCAGAGCTGCCTCCGAGCAAAGCGAAGCCAAATCGGCGCCCACATGACCATGAGTCTCAGCGGCAATCTGCTCGAGATCAACATCCTCGTGAAGTTTCATATTCTTGGTGTGTATCCGCAACACTTCAAGACGGCCGGTGGCATCGGGAATACCAATATCGATCTCACGATCAAAACGACCAAAGCGACGAAGCGCTGGGTCAATGGAATTGGGCCGATTGGTGGCCGCCATGACAATCAAATGGGAGCTCTTCTTCATGCCATCCATCAGCGTCAGCAGTTGGGAAACAATGCGACGCTCCACCTCACCGTGGGTCTTGTCACGCTTGGGCGCGATTGCGTCGATTTCATCAATGAATATGATAGCTGGCGAATTCTTTTCGGCCTCCTCGAATGCCTTGCGTAGATTCGATTCGGATTCACCGGCCAGCTTAGACATGATCTCCGGTCCGTTGATTAAAAAGAAGAACGCGCCAGTCTCATTAGCCACTGCTCGTGCAATTAGCGTCTTACCAGTACCAGGTGGGCCGTACATAAGAATGCCACGTGGTGGCTTTACACCAATTGCCTTGAAAAGCGACGGATGCCGCAGCGGCAGCTCAACCATCTCCTTAATCTGAGCAAGTTGCTTGCGACAGCCACCAATATCATCATAGCCCACAGCATTCAAAGACTCCTCCTCCTCCTAAAGCAAAGTTATAGGTGTTGAGATATGAAATATACATAGAAACTAAGACGCAGTACAGTGCACAAGGACGAAAAATGCCACAATCAATTAAAAAACAAAAAAACAAAAAAAAAATAAAAGGCAAATTTGAAAAATCTAGTAGATAGTCGCCCACTGTGCTGTTATCGGATGATGCGCTTACCTCACGCTTGATCGGTTCACCATCACAGAAGATGACCGTTTCGGGTGCCACAATGCAATAAGGTTCCGGGTCGGTGAGCACCACTTTGAACTCGATAGGCCGCATCGCAGCGCGTACAATGAAATTGTCGCCCATATGAATGGGACGATAGGCCTCCAGGAAATAGGGTTTCAAATAGATCTCAAAGAGATTTCCAGTAACACCCTCAGTAGTATCATCGATGGGCAAAATGCGCACGCGTTTGCCATACTTGACATCCGGACAGGATTGCACAGACACCACATCCGACAGATGTACACACAGATTATTGCGTACAACTCGATTCATGCGTATCTTCTCATCCGGGCAGGTATCATCCGACAAGACAATGCACACAGTCTCTTTACGACGTTTGCCCTTCAGAATGACAGTGTCACCACGGAAGAGCTGCAGCTCATCCATTTTCTCCTAAATACAAACAGATCAGTTTAGCAAAACGATGAATTTGCTGACGTGGCCCTAAAAAGATTGATTTAACTTCCTTACCTGCGATAGCGACACGACGGAATTGTCATCATTTTGCGCCTCCTCGACAATCAGACGATTGGGACGGTCCTTGCGCTTCAAAATTGCGGTGGCCAGGTCTTCACTGCATGAGGTAAAGAATTAAATCAAGCAATCGACAACAAATTCAAGAGAAAATTAACAACAAAAACCTCCTCCCTATATGCACACCGTTTATCGCTGGAGAACTGCGGCTTCGGTAAATCGCAAGGATCTTTCTTTATTAGCTCATCATCCTGTTCGCTACGATAGTTGCGCACCATATCACTTATATCAACATCCATGTTTTGGCTATTGTCTACATTATAGCTGTTGTTCATATTATTTTTGTTGCTGTTGTTGTCGCCGGTGTTTGCAAACGAGCTGCTGGCAGCTTTATTTTCATCGTTGCCGCTGGACATTCTTCTTCTTTTTGCTGTAATCCGCGCTTACTTCTTTCGATTTCGAATTCGATTTTCAAAAAAAAAGACAACAACAACAAGCAAAATACAGGAAACAGCTTGCAACGTTGTCGTTGTTAACAACAAACTAAGACTGTAAATCGAACGGCACACTTTGATACCATTTAAAAAGCAACGAATTTCCCCAAATATCCCTCAACAAAGAAATCGGAAAAGGGCTACAACAACAACGACAAATGGCGAATTTATGCGTCTTGGCCTAATTTCGCAATCAATGAGCTATTGTGTAAATTAAGCATTATAACTTAAAACTATTCGAGATATAACCTCAACTTAAGTGAATTACCATATCACAGTCAAATTTTACATTTTAGTTTCCACTTCATTTCCCTATGTGGCCTTTGCGTTTTTTTTTTCTCATAGGGCCAATGACTGCGCGAAATTGAAGTTGAGTCGGCTTTCGTTTGCCGCTGTTTATTGTTACATATACACTTACCCCTTGGAATCAGCCATATTATATGATTTGTGATGAAACTTTTGAACTTAAATATACAAATTGGCGCGTTAACCTTTTATTATATGCCTTTAAAAATCGAGCACAAGTTTTGTACAAAAATCACAAATGATTTAGCTAAATGTTCGCATGGGCTGCCAACTTGACTGGTGCCAACGAGTTGGCAGCTTCGTGTATGAAAAGTGCTGAGTTGTGTGATAATTAGGGTTGGTACTTTGTACAAAAATTAAATATCGATATTTCAACGAATGCAGCCCATCGATACCAATAAAGTTGCCACTTTAATGTGAGCGAATTTAACGGCTTTTTGGCGCAGTGTATTCAAATGGGAAACTGACTTTTTATTTTCGAATCTCATTTAAAGAAATTTGTTTATTCCGCGGTTCTGTAGAACACTTGTATAAAGACATATATAAATACATATACATTTATAGTTCTTATATTAATATTGAATACAAAATATGCTCTTGCCATTTGACATTTTGTGCAAAATTACACTGTTACATACAAAAATTTGTAGAACGGAAACGATTAAATGCGTTTTAGTTTAGTTTTGCATAATTTTTTCAATTGGTTTCGAAATATTACTTTGTATTTTTTTTTTTTTTTTGGTGTGGTATTATTGGAGATTAGAGTTCGTTATCGGACATTTAGCCAGCATGCACAGACTGAAACGAAGAGTAAAAAGAGATAAATCAAATTAAAGTCAAATCATATATGTAGAAATCGAATCAGAAAGCAAAAAATTAGAGTTTTTTATATATGTACATATATGCAGAAGAAACATATGTAATCATAGAACTTCACATAATGTTGCTACATTTCTCTACCAAGTCTTTTGATTGCCATTTGTTTTACTTTTTGTGTGTTTGTTTGCTGCATTTTTGATGGTAGTTTCTGCTCTTAGATAAACTCTGAATTGGAACGTACCCTGGCAATATCCACGCCAGTTATGCTCTTCACCAACTCCGGCACCTTGTTGACAATCTGCAACACCTCACCGGTCAGCTTAGCGGCTCCAATATCGCCCTGGCCACTTGAAATCATGGTAATCTTTCTAGCCTGCGACAAGGGCGCAGCTACCTCGGCAGCCACCTAAAAGCAAAAGAGAAAAAGATTTTAAAACCCATTTACAACTGTATTAAAATCACAGCGTACTTTAGGCAGAGTATCCAGCAGCATCTCCACCATGGCAGCTTCCCGGTATTCACGCCAAGCATCCGCCTTCTGTGCCATCTGCTCAGCTTCTGCCTTGGCCTTAGCTGCAATAGCAAATGCTTCAGCTTCGCCGCGTATCTTAATCTATAAAAGCAAAAACAGTTTTTTAATAATTTTTTAAGATATTCGGCTATACAGCTAATTTACCGATTCAGCCTCAGCTTCTGCCTCCATTACGACGCGCAGCTTGTTGGCCTCGGCTAATTTTTCAAGGCGATATTTCTCAGCCTCAGCCGGACAGCGAACAGTTGCATCCAGCTCTTTCTCACGTCGCATAATCTCCTGCTCCTGCACTGCGATCTCTTGTGTGCGCTCGATGACTTTCACTTGCATCTGTTCCTCCTTGATGCGTTGTTTGGTCTTAGCCGCTTGCAGCTCATAGGCCATATCAGCTTCGGCCTTCTTTGTCTGCACTTCCAGATCGTAGGCAGCACGCTTCAGTTCAAAGTCGCGTTGTGCTTTGGCAATGTCAGTGTCGTTAAGGAAACGAGCAGCCATGCGCTGTTCCTCAGCAATTGCCTCCTTGATATGGGCCTCAGCACGTGCCTCTGCCTCGCCTATGCGAGCGTCGCGCTTCACCTCTGCTGTGCGAGCCATTCCCAAGGATTTCAGATAACCCTGCAATGAAAATTAAGTGATTCTTATTACAAATAGTTGTCAATGTGCGGTTAAAAGGACTCCACATTAAGGAACAACTCTATACGCACCTTGGAGTCGCCCTGGTTAGTTAAACCATGAGTCGATATGTACACGCATGCAAAAATAATGAATATATTTCGGTTACTCAAAATGGGAAACGAAAGACGCGTCCCACAATTATATTATATCAACTGCATTCCCAGAGAGCAAAATCTAATATAATCGTCAACCAAATCTTTGAAGAAACTCACCTCTTCGTCACGTAAATCCTTAATGGTGTAGGAGACTACTGTAATGCCCATATTTGCCAGATCACTCGAAGCTACCTCAAACACCTGCTTGCTAAACTTCTTGCGATCCTTATAAATCTCCTCCACGGTCATTGACCCCATAATCGCCCGTTGATGTCCCTCCAGTGTGACCAGAGCAATATGATTAATTTCGGCCTCGGATTTGCCTAGAAACTGCTCGCAGGCGGTCAACAGCATATCCTCATTTTGACCTTGCACCTTCACCTGGGCAATGCCAGTCACAGAGATGGGCACACCTTGGCTGGTGTATACGCATGGGCTTTCCACCTGCAGTGTCATCGTGTTCAACGAAATGCTAGAAAAACAATCAAAGACCATTATTTCGTGACATCGTGTTTGAAGGTCAAATTAATTACCGTTGTACTTGTTGAATCGATGGCCAGACAAAGGCGCGACCACCAGGTACCAACAAAGGCTTCATATAGCAACATCCTAGCAAAAAAGGAATTAAAAATCCAAGAAATATGTATATATTTTAATGTTTACAATCCGATCAAAACAAAACAAATACACCGGTAAACACACACAGATAGGCAGGCGGCCGCGCGAGCACACACATGCATGCATACGCATATGCATGTGACGGCGTTCGTTAGGGTGCGCACGCACGGCTTCGGTCTGTCACAATTTGCTTGTACATAAAAATCGATAAGCAGTGACGTCATTTGTGGGTGCTACCCCGTGCCCATTTTATTTACACAGTTAAACAATTTGTTATCTTTAGTTTGGCAAAATATTTACCTGACACAACTAACGCCTCATTCGGGCCACAAGTAACAAAGCCCCAAGTCATATTTATAAACTAAAATTACTTAAATATTCGATATCGTTTAAGAATTGCTATTGGTGCTGCTTTTGCTGGTCGGTAATTGCCTTTGGGTACTTATAATATAAAGCTCGCATAAAAAAGTACCGCAAATAATGAAATATTCTGAATATCGTAATCAAAATAAGGCCTTATGATATATATGTAAATATAGCAACGGGGTTTTCACTTTAGATACATATACGAATGCGAAAGACGACCGGTCCGTCAAGAACACAAAAAGCAACTAAGCAAAAAAAAAAAATAAATGGAGCGCGAGTGCGCAGTGCGCATTAGATTTAACCCTTAAGCGATGCTATGTGGGTTTTTGTACACATGTGATTTGTTTATAATTTCGGCATGTATATTATGAAGATTTATTCTATAAATATTAAGTGAACTAGGTACAGTTGCAATTTTTTGGTTCTTACATTTACTTAATGTATATTTAAAATATTACAACTGATGGCATTTGGTAAAAACTATGTTAATAGAACTGCAATGAATTGAGGATAAAAACAATGTGTATAACTAAAAATACGTTCCTAAAATATACATACAATTTATATATTATATTATATTTATATTATTGAAACAGTCGTAAGAACTACAAGTGAACTTTGATTGCCACGTTAATGACCCGACGAGGAGCTGTCTGTGAAAAACGGATGCTGCATTGCAGCTTCCGCACTAATTCTTTGATTCGGACGGCAAACTAAGAGTTTTTGAAGTAAATCACGGCCCTTAGTATTCAGTCTTGGTACCAGTTGGCTCCACGACGTAATTGGTGGAAAAGCTACAACACAAAATCGTAATTGTTTATCTAGTATGAGTGCTCTATTTTTTAAAGCATTGCTCGACTTACATGGAAGCGCAACGTAATCGGAAAGATGCGAGACACCAGGCCAAGATTCCTCAGTTGGTGTGCCAAGCACTCGGAATATTTTTAGCAATTGATCAAGTACATCAGAACCAGGAAATAGCGGACGTCCTGCATCAGCTAATTCAGCTAATATACAACCCGCTGACCACATATCAATGCTTGTCGTATAGAGCTTGGCACCGAACAGCACATCTGGTGGCCGATACCAAAGCGTTACCACTTCCGCAGAGTAGCATTTGACGGGTATACCAAATGCACGAGCCAAACCAAAGTCAGCCAACTTCAATTCTCCATTCTTGTTGATGAGCAAATTTTGTGGTTTCAAATCTCGATGTAGCACATTATGACTAAAATAGTAATATTGCATCAAATGAGAATTGAAAATTAACATACATCTGCAAAGCACCCACCTGTGACAGAAGGCTAAGCCGCGCAACAGTTGCAGCATAAAGCTTCGGCAAACGGCCATATCGATTTCTCCATTCAAGCTGTCAAAGTATTTTTTCAGATCCTGATCGCAGTGCTCAAATACCAATGTCAATTTTTTATCGGAGTGCAACACATCACAGAGCCGAACAATATTTTTGTGTTTTAGTTCCTAAATAATAGAGTGACGTGACGTGAATGTGTGGCTAAAGTATAGAGCAGACCTCTCTTTTGCTAGTAGTTGCAAAACAAACCTTTAGTAAGCATATTTCTCTCAGCGCGGAACTAGGCACACCCTCGTCGTCTTCATCTAAGCGTACTCTTTTTAGTGCCACAATTTCCATAGTATCTCGATTGCGTCCCTTAAACACCGTGCCGTAAGTGCCCTCACCAATCTTTTCCATTTTATCATATTTTTGCATGTTTATAAAATAATTGTGTCGCGATTACCTGAAAAACCGTGCACGTTGCCAGACCGTCATTTAATCAGCTGTTTTTTTTTTATCGCATTCAACACGGCTCTTGCGAGCATCAGTCACGTGAAGTTGGCTGCGAACGCAAAAACGAGTCGTCTGTCATTTAACGGCTGCTGAAGGAAAATTGGAAAAAGTGCAACTGCTCAAAGTTTTAAAACAAAATTAGAACATTTTCGGTTTTAACTTTTTTCTATTTCTCTCTTGTTTTAGTACAAAATGGATACTCTAAATGATGATGCTCTCATTCGCATACTGGGCTATTTGGATCTTAAATCGCAACAAGTTATGCTAACATTGCATCCACGCTTCTACAATTTGATGTCGATTGTCTGGAGCTCTCGGTACAAAACTGTACGGATGTCCTTATACGAGGCAAAGTTTTCAATCGACCACTTGCGATATTTCTTTCGAAGCATTTGCAAAACTGTGCAAGTTATGCACTTGAGAATGATGTCCGCGGAGCAATATGGGGTCCTCATTGGCTTCATTTTTCCAAAAGTTTATGATTTTCGGTTTGCGACAGTGCCGAGTAAATTGCTATCCGATTCGGATATACCAAAATTGATCGCAACTTTTCCAAATTTGAAAACATTTAGTCCTCAAGGCAACTTTTCGGGCAGATATTTCACCGATTTCCCACTATTGGAGCGTCTAACATTGACATACTGCAAACACTTTAGTGTTGAAAATCTAGCAAACGTTATGAAAGAACGTAAACTAAAAGAAATCAAACTATGCCTGTTTGATCGTAAAACTATTGAAAAAAGTCCTATATGTCTGCCTGCAGACTCGTTGGATAATCTAGAGTCCATTAAACTAGAACTTGACGAGCTGCCCTGGTTTGAGGACCATCTGGAAAGACTTAATTGTCTTAGCGAACTGACCGTTTGTGGTCCTGGATTTATGGGCACACTTCCTTTACTGTGCCGCAAGTTGGGTTGCCTAACTCAAAAACATCATTTCAAAATATTGGAGACATGCAACACCACTGACACGTTGTGCACGGTAATTGGATCGAGGCTACGTGTGGATGCACTTAAAATTGTCACAGATAACTATCTATTAGAAGACATGGGTTACTTTTCGCCCAATAATTTTCAATACATACAACAATTGTTTTTTAAAAGCTGTTGTATTCAGGAAAAGAAACATTTAAACAATCTTATGCACAACATTGCAAACGTGGAGATTGTTAGCTTTGAGCAATGTGTTTTTACTTTTGATAACTACGAATTTGTCGTAGCTAAAATAGTTGAGAAGCGTGACAAACTTTTGCAGGTCAATGTGTTTCAAAATACATGTGTATTTACAGTAAGTACTTTCGTATTGTTGAAGTAGTTTTAATATAAATTGTTTATTTCTTATAGAAACAACCATGGATATTTTCCAAAGTCGGTCAGCATTCTTTAGTGCAATTCATGGATGGCAAAAACTTTGAATATACTTATGAACCTATTTACATGACTTTCAAATAAATAAAAAATACTTATTTTGACTAGAATACATTGTTAAAAATGTCAAAATCAAGTACAAATTTAACATATGTCTATCTAGTTTTGTCTGAATAAAATATCAACTCACGCTTTCCTCCGTAAATTAGCATAAAATTTGAATTTGAATTAGGTGGCTTTTCTTCGTTTAACCACAATTACTTTTAAACGTAACGGCAAATAACATTGCGTGCCTATCTGTAAATACGTTGTACGATAACAGTCTGTTAACAGGTTTGTTATTCACGCTTTTTGATTCGTTAACTGGTTCATGGTTCACGCAAATGTTGCCTGTGAACCAAACGCATTCGCTGTAAATTAATTCAGTAGAAAAATAAGTAAAATAAAATAGAAATTAATTATTTTGTGCATTTAATTTAGTTTGCACGTTAACCACTTAACAACACAGGTACTTGGGTAAGTTCCATGCTGGTGCGCAAAGTGAATGAAAGGTGAAATTTTATGCGCATTTGGACACCTTTGTCAACGCTTATTTGCGCAAAATAATAAGTTCCAAGTGTTTATTGTTGTTGGTGGGCCAGCACTCACAAATACATAGAAGTTGGCTCGCTTGGTGCTGACAGAACAAGAACCAGTGGAAAACGCAAAGCTCAACAACAATATCAGGAGGAATATCAAGAAGCAGAACAGTAATAAAAACAACATCGTTTGCGCCAGTGGACATATCGAAATGGCTAATACAAATATGATTACTGGCAATCATAACAGTAACAGCAATAGCACCGCCTACACTTACAACAATTACAACAGTGTTAGTGCTGACAGCGGCAACAGCAGTGGCAGCAACGGCGGCGGTGGCAGCGAGGTGCAAACGCTTCGCGAAGTTTGTAACATGCTCAATACGGGCGCTCCGTCTAGCTATATGATACCAACAGGTGGTTGTATGTACGATCACATTATAACAATGATGCGTGGCCTTAACCTGCAGGACGACGGCATTGTCCTCAATAACAAAATTAAAGCCATCGAAGCTGATTTCTGCAACATTGTACGAGACGAGTCGATGCTATGGTATGTATATTTGCATAGTCTTGTGTGTATGTATTTGCATCGTCGTCCATTGATGATTAATACATAAGTATATATGTATAAGTATGTATAATTTTATTTATTGTGTCTACGTACATTTATTTCCGTGTATGTATGATATGTGAACATACATATGTATGTGTGTTAGGTGTCTACGTCAGAACTAGTATTAATATTTACAACTATCTGTAAGCGATGTCGCAATTCGGTTAAAATTTTAGAACTAAGAGATTTTTGAGAACCAGAAAGAGAGAGAAACCGAGAGAGTTGAAATAAGAAAAATAAGTGAGTTTCCCGCCAATTGGATAAAGACGAATGTTATCGAAGACTAAATACCCTTTAATACTTAAACAAACAAATTATTGGAGGAACACAAGACTATAATAGGCTTATAAAGCTTATGTATTTCCCTATTCCAAAGTAGTAATTAGTGCATTTTCAGTTAGTAACAGAATGTAGAACTTTAATATTGAATCAGTTTAGCTTTTGTTTTTGCACAATGTCAATACTCAATTGTTATCCACTAAAGCCCCCCTCTTTATCATAATCAGGGCTGCAGCATACAGATAACCGGTTCCCAATTGAATGACCAAGTTCACCTAGTTCATTGTGAAAAAATAAACAATATTTTTAAATGCCATTGCAGTGAATCAATGGACTATATGAACAACAAAGCCCTAACCGACGCTGAGACAGCACTGAAGTTTGCTCTATTATTCTCCTCGCGCAACTTCGACGCCCTGGCTATGAATGAGACAAAAGTTCGCAGCGCCATGCTTAAGATCCTGGAGACGAATTACATTAACGCTGATGCATATCGACAGCACGATAAGAATAGATTGTACAACTCGATTACGCTGCTTGGCGAGTACTACAATAGAGTGCGCCTTGCGAACCATGCACCAATCACCATTCTGGGCGATTCGCTGCTCACTTTGCTAACGCGGGAAATCAACGATGTTTCCGTAGTAATGAGTACGCGCCTAGCGCGTTTAGTGCTTTCACAGATTACACTAAATGGCGAAATAATGCGTACGCGGCACAAGGCGGAAATCGATCAGTTACTCTACCATGTCAGGCGACATCTGATCATGCAGCCAGCGCTCACGGATAAAGTAAAGGCGATGTTGCTAATGGTGCTTGACTTGTTTTATAGCCATTTTAAGAATGTTGGTCACGAGCTGGAGGCCATGTACACAAACTATTTAAGCATCGATGAGGACGAGGATGATGGCTTCAATAACAATAATAACAACGATAACAATAACAGCAGCAATAGCAACAACAATGGTGACGAAATGCAGCCACAAACAACAGACTCATACAGTGGACAAAGTGCGGCTACCTGTTACAGTGACGAGGAGACTGGCAGCAGTGCTAACACCTCGGCCCAGGAGGCGCCCAAGAAATGGAGCGAACAGGTCTGTGAAGACTCATTGTGCGATATAGTTTACGGAGAGACACCGGCTAATTGCGATGACCAGCAACAGTTAAACGATAACGCTGGCAATACCTATCAAAGCCTCGACTCCTCCAGTTCCAGTCGCCAAACCCGACGTGGTTATCAGCCGCGCCATGTGCCGCGCCCGTTAAAACAGGCTCACGCGCAGGTGCCGCTCGCAGAGTAAGTAATCTGAGTAATCCTAGGGCTCTAATTTTTAATTTTTCACTTTTCACTTGCTTCCAGCAATGTCAACTCCGATCAGTATGCATCCATGGCCAGCAGCGAGGATCGCGATGAGTCAAAGCCGCTACCAAGCTGGCGCATGACACGTTTTAATCGGGGCAATGATGGTGAACAGTCGAATGGACGTTCCCGTCACGATCAACAGCGTCGCTATAGCGTCAGCTGCGATGACGATCATCAAAGTGTGCGTAGCGAGGGTCGCGGTGGAAATTTGCGCTTGTACAGCATAGATGACCGCAGAAAGCATTCAGAGGAGCGCTACGAACGCAATTTGGGCGGAGACAGCAATTACAACAATATTGTGAACTCTAATTGGGATCAGCGCGATGATCGCAGCGAACGTTCCTATATAAGTAATTATGAACGTGGAAATAGCTACAAACGTGGCGGTCGATACAACAGTCACAATCGCAGCACGTACGACAAGCCGCCGCGTTTCCAAAAGCAGCAGCAACATCAACAGCAGCAACAACATCAACAACAGCAGCAACACCAACACAAGATACACAGTGAAACTTGGCGTCGTTCAAATACAGCTATTAACAATGCATATCAGGATGAAAATTGTGCTTACAATTCGAATGGACCAGAGTCGCATAGTCGCAGCTCCTCTCGTGCTCGTACGCTGCCGCGTCCGCCCAAATCTCAAATGGATGATGGTGGAAGGAAGCCCAACTCGAACTATCGTTACAACCAGAGTCCCACTCGTGGCGCAAGCGGTGCACCACGCAACTTTCCGCGTTACAGCAGTCAGAGCAGCTTAGCCAGCGAGGCATCCAGCACTTTTGATCGACGCCAACAACAAACGCGCTCACATCAGCATCAAAATCAGCATCAACATCAACCGCAGCGCCATCGCAACTTTACACGTCGCTCACAACCCAACATACACCAATCGCAGGAGCCAAATCCACAACAACAACAAAAACCACAGCAGTCTCATTCGAATGCCGACAACTGGCATGGAGATGCTAGCAAGGATGAGAGTGAGCTGGTGCGCAATGCACAACAGACAACACAATATATGAATTATCTGTCCGCACAGAAATGAGAACGACGAGCACGCTGCAAAAGAGCTCAACAGCAAAAGCAGCGTTGTCGTCGTCGCAGCACCAGGAACTACAAATGCATGGAGTGATTACAAAAAATAAGCACGAGTACGATTTTTGTAAAATAATTGTTTTAAAATTGAAAGTCTGCAACGAGATTTAGTTTCTAACGTTTTAAAAAGCTGCCCAATTCTTTTCTCTATACGTCTCATCCTGCACTCAAGTAATCAATTATTATTTGCTTTCTATTTAAACAAAAACCAAAAATAAGATTGATGGATTTACTTTCTTTTTCTTGTATTCGAATATTTGAATTTTTTTGTACGACTATATTTCGGATATTAAGACCTCATATTCAATTGTTTAGTTTATAATTGCCGTTCATTTAATATGTTGTATACAATGTAGTAGAGACTGTTTCTAATCTTAAAATTGAGCTCAAATGTTTTGAACCTAACTCGTGGCCATTTTGCATCTAATCTCCAATTTCCCCGCCTCAAATAACAAACAAAAGCAACAAATATCAAATGAAATCAAACGTAAACACAAATCAAGGCTCAAGTACCAATTGTAAATCGCAAAAATATATATTTATATATGTGTATATATATAGTGAATCGGAAACATAAACAAAATGTAAATATCTATTGTAGTCGACGACGGATCGATCAGCATATATATATACATATATATAAACAGAACCCAAACACACATGCATACACACACATACACACACATACATACACATATATATAGGTACACATACACATACATAAATAAAGAGAAAAGCATGTTTTATAAAATTTTTGTTAGAAACTAAGTACAAAAGTCATAAACATGAAACAAAAATCCTATTTCTAATATAATTGTATGAATAAAATGAGAAAATTATGTTGTTTAAATGTTACATGCACGTTACCCACGTTGTATTTTAGCTAAATATATATACATATATAACAAAATGTCATGTTACGATACAGAAAATACAGATTTATTAAAAAACATTAGATGTAACACAGAGACACGTATACATGCAGACCTTAAGGAAAGTTATTATAAATAATTCTGAAGAAGCGAATTGCATTATTATAGTGACGAATTCGTTAAAGCAACAAGCTGCTAAGCATGAGAAATAATTGTTACATCAAATTCGTCATATATACGTATTTTAAGAATAACAAAAGTTTATATATAATTATATGAATGTATGTATACACATATACAAATATATAATCTAACAATAACAATTTTAATAAATATATTTCCAAGACTTTGATTTTGAAAAGTTAAATATATAGATTTTTAAGGCGGATCATAGAAAGTAACACAGAATAAAAATAAACCAATTGGAATACATCCCGTTCAACTCTAATTGGGTTCAGCGCTCAGCCTGTTCTTTAGGCGTGACAATCAGTACTTCATAGTTTCTGTTGGAGACCTCGTCGCGTTGATGGGGCATATATATAACTCGATGGGATGGATGTACTTTGCCGAGTAGGGTCAGGCCGGCATGCACAGATCGAGCGGTGTAAAGCGCCTCACCTAGTTCAGAGTAACCCGTTTTTAGACCACCTGGCGGCACTTCACCGTTTGCTGCAGCGACCCACTTAACATCACAATCCGTTAGTACCAATAGTTCCACCTCTGAGTTCAGCTGATGTGCACTGCAGTTCCAGGGGGCGTAAACGGCTTTCTTTTGCGGCACATAATTGGCGGGTAGCAGATCCTCATGCAAATAAACGCGTGCCACATATGTATCAAATCCTTCGTGATCGGTGCCGCATTGGACAGCACCGTCGAGCATGGCGGACGGAACAGGTTCATCCAAATCGATGGGCATCCATTGGATCTGAGAGCGCTCTACTTCCTCGACTTCGGTGTATTCTGCAAAATTCAAATAAATGCGATGCACACGCTGCCGATGGCAAATAGCTCTGCATTGAGGACAGCTCAAAGAGCGGGCTAGCCAACGGTTAAGGCAATTCTTGTGGAAAACATGGCCGCAACTGGCTGTTGAAAATATTATATCATTCGCTTTGTAAAACTCATTACAAATTCCACACAAAACGTTTAATGTTTCAGTTGGCTGATTTGATTCCGGTTCTGCTTCTGCTTCCATCTTATTGCGACTGTTCTTTTTATTGAATTTTGTCTACTTATTATCTCAAAGCGTCAATTTCTATGTCATCAGATTAATCATGTCTTATTTATTATACGCAAATATGAATTTCATCAGATGAAAACAAAGAGTACTGATAATCGGTGTTTTGTTTTTATTTGTTGATTGCAGTATATTCAACTAATCGACTAGTCGGTCAACTAATCGCTATCGGTAATCGAAGACGATAATTTAGTGGCCCTGGTCTGGTGCACGTTGTTTTTATTATTGGTTTTGATGTTAGTATAAATATGCAGCGAAAGGACCCAAATCCATTTCTGAAGCTCGGCTTACGGCCGTGGTTAGCCAAACAGTTGACTAAATTAGGTAAACAAAATAAGTATATAAATTGAACATATAAAGGAAGTACCCAACGTATTCGTATTACGTAGGTCTTAAGGGAGTAACGCCAATACAAGAGAATTGTATACCAGCAATTTTATCCGGTAAGGATTGTATAGGTGCCGCTAAAACAGGCTCAGGCAAGACCTTTGCTTTTGCCTTGCCGATTTTGGAGAAGCTGAGCGAGGAGCCAGTCAGTCATTTCGCACTGGTGCTAACACCCACACACGAGCTGGCCTACCAAATCTCCGAACAGTTCCTCGTAGCTGGTCAGCCTATGGGAGTTCGGGTGTGCGTTGTCTCTGGTGGCACAGATCAGATGATAGAGAGTCAAAAGTTAATGCAGCGACCACACATTGTTGTGGCCATGCCCGGACGCCTGGCAGACCACCTAACAGGCTGTGACACATTCTCCTTTGATAACCTCAAGTACTTGGTCGTGGATGAAGCGGATCGAATGCTGAATGGTGACTTTGATGAGAGCTTAGCTATAATTGAACGCTGTTTGCCGAAAACCCGGCAGAATCTATTCTTCTCTGCTACCATGAAGGACTTTATGAAAGAGTCAAGCATATTTCCCATAGCAAAAGATGTAAGCGTGTAAATCCCAGAGTTGATTTAATTGATTTTTATATTTTGTATTTTTATATTATATTTTAGTTAGTGGAATGGTCACAGGAGTCAGATGTGGCCACAGTGGAGACACTTGAACAGCGTTATTTGCTGTGCGCTGACTATGATCGTGATATGGTGCTCATTGAAGCATTACGAAAGTTTAGAGAAGAAAATGAAAATGCGAATGTCATGATTTTTACCAATACAAAGAAGTAGGTTTATGATATGTAATATTATAGATATTAAATTTTTGTATACCCAACTAGATACTGTCAACTGCTCTCGATGACGCTCGCCAGCATGGAAATTGACAATGTGTGCCTGCATGGATTTATGCGACAAAAGGAACGAGTTGCAGCACTAAGTCGTTTTAAGTCGAATCACATACGCACGTTAATTGCTACGGATGTGGCTGCACGTGGCTTAGATATACCCAGTGTGCAGCTGGTAATCAATCATATGTTGCCACGTACACCCAAGGAATATATCCATCGAGTGGGACGGACAGCGCGGGCGGGTCGCAAAGGCTTGGCTATTTCTATATTTCGTTTTCCACGTGATCTCGAATTACTGGGCGCTATTGAAGCTGAAATTAATTGCAAACTAACGGAGCATCCTGTAGATCGTGGGTAATTGATCTATCTATAATCTACAGTTTTAACTGAGTTACTCTTTTTTAGAGCGTATGGTGGAGCGCATATTCATGCAGGTGAATGTCACAAGACGCGAATCGGAAATGCAACTGGACAACAATGACTTCGATGAGCGTGCTCAAAACTACAGACGGAAAACTTGGATTATGGAGGGCAAGGATCCCGATGAAATGGAAGCACTGTGAGTAATCCAAGTTTCGACTTGAAAATCCATCTAATTTATCTGCGATTGCTTTGCAGCTATCGGAAGAAACAAAAGGATAAGCTGCGCGAAATACGCCGCAAGCGAAAGCAGCAGCAGGCGGAGTTGTGCGCCAGCGAGGAGGGCAAGGCTTTATTAAATGATGATCGCTTCAACACTTTGGACAGTGCGCGATTTGAGAAGAAATTTAAAAAACGCCCCGTAAAAGATGGATCCGAAAAAAAGGCACCACAAAAACTAAGTAAAACAAACGCAAGCAAAACAAAAACAAAATCAAAATTAAAATCAAATACAAAGTAAACTTCATGAATATGTTTATAAGCACATTAACATATTTGTGTGTATGTAGTTTAATAACAAATAACTTTTAAGCTTACATCTAATAAGCAGTTACAGATCATATAAATATTTCTTTTTCAATGAACCTACGTAAATTTAGACATAAAAAAAAATGCAGCTGCAGCAGCCTTTAGTTGATATATGAAGCAGGCACTTTTCTTGCGGTTAGTTTTTCAGGTTTACTTTTTCAGTCTAGGGCGATGGTTAATAGCGCATCCTCAGGATAAATCTCTAGCAGCACCTTGGCTCCATCGTTAAACGGATACGAGATGCTGCCATCAATGACCAGATCTACATAAGGAAAAAGAATTTAACGATTACTTCATTCAGCCTGGACTTGGCTACTTGTTACTCACTGGCATCGATGCAGTGGGATTTTATAAATACAGTCTGCACAAAATCCCGTGCCTTAAATGTCTTTGGTGAGGGCCAAACACCCACACAGATCTGCTCCCGTATGGAGTAGCATAAACGCGGATCATCAGCTGGGAAAAGCAGTCCCTGATTGTAACGCTGAGCGATCTCCTCAACATTTGCGCGTAGTTTGAGCACATGCGGCGCACAGCTATCGGGCAGTGATTGAAGCAGATCGTCCACATCGCTGCTGGTGATCCGATTGATACTTGTATGCCACGAAGTGGAGCCTGTGCCTGTGCTAACGCACAAGCCCGAACACTTTGTTTTATTGACCACATCCTGATGATTGAGCACCAGCTGCAAATGCGAGACGCGTGCCGAAAGTTGTTCTCCAATGAAGACCTTTACCGGAAAGCTTGAGAGGATTAGCTAAAATGAATTATTTTGCTAAACAACATCCTTTACCTCGTTTAACGCCAAATATGGAAGAATGCGTTTCATTTTAGCATTATACTTGTGACCCATATGCTTATCCAGCAGCTCCGGTGATGTATCAACCTGCTCCATCTTAACTGCAGTATGCCTGAATAGATCCGTGGACTCGGGTATGGTGCCATTGTTGCCCAGCATGGTGGTACGTATGCGTGAACGATGCACCCACTTAAAGTCGCCCTATTGAAAAAGATATTTACTTATATTAGTGATAAGCTTATGGATAGTATAGGATAACAACTCACTGATTTAATGCGATTGACTGCCTCCTCGGGATTTTCGGAGTAGTATTTGGGCAGCAGCAGGCGTCCTTCCGAGTGCTGCGGGTCGGAATTGAAGCCAACAATCGGTGTTTTCTGCTGGCTTAGCGCAAATAGGGGACTGGCACGATTGGCTGATAGCAAAAAGGTGCCATCGCCGCCAACAGGCACAATAACATCCGCCCAGCTCATCACATCCTTGCTCAGAGAGCTTCTAAATTCAAGTCTGCTTGTTTAATAAAGTCAAACAGCAGCCGCAAACAGGGACACATTATGTGGATGGCGGGAATCAACACAATTTGTAGTTGGATGACAATGACGATCGATCAATTTATGGAACACACATAGAACACAATCACAACAAAGCCACAGACAATCAATAGTTAGATATATATATTTATTGATGTGTACTTCTAATAGGTTCCACAAAACATCTCATCTACCCACCTGCTGGACATTTTCACTTCGCAGCCAACATTCCTAAAGCTGCGCACAATGCGCCGCTCAAAATCCTTGTGCAGGTTATGCAAATAGAGCACGTTCTCCACATCGGTACCACGATCTCTGAGCTTTTGCTCCAGCTGCTCTCGCGTCAATTCCGGATGACGCAGTTGCTCGATCTCATAGCGGGAGAGCTTGGTCACAATCAAAGCACGTTTCAATTTGAAATTTGCGGGCGAAAAGCTCGAACATTCTGCACAGAGGCAAGCCATTTAAGTAAACATTTAATTCGAATATTTAATATTATTATTTTGCTAAGCCTGAACGAATTTTATCGAGTACTTTTTGAATTTTGAGTTTTCAAACTAATTTGTATAGCGGTATACATTGAAATTAGTCTAATGGTAATCAATTTGATATTTAAGTAATTTTTGTAGATAATATTTTAATAAATATGATCCCTCACAATCACATGCTTCAGAGCCTATAGCTGATAATAAACGGAAGCGTAATTAAAAAGGTTCATAATATACGTATAAAAAGGCAAACAAAGTAAACAACCAAAAATATGTAAAAAAAAAAACACAAAAATTAAATTAAAGAGATTCCTCAGACTAATTGTGCGCTTTAAATGAAAAATTAAACTAAACTAATTACCTTTCACACATTGTTTTAGCAACTGCTTGGACTTCAACATGCTGCGAGTTGTTGAATGAAATGGCATTTATTTATTTAATTCTTAAACTTGTTTTCTACATCAATTGTTTGTTATTCTAAACTACAAATTTTTCTTTTCATTTAATGCAAAAAATTTTATTTTTCGTCCACTCTTTGTTTACAGTTATCTGTGCTTTTTCACATTGAGTAATGTACAATTTGGCAAATTGGAGGTTAATAATTATATTACAACTTAAGATGAATTGTCAGAATGAACACGCGTTATACGTAGTCATTGAACATATTTTAGTTTTTACGTCCACTTTCCTACTCTTTATTAGATTTACTGATTGATTGTTATTCCAGTTTGTTCGTCGTCGTCACAACTCTCGTGTATGAATATTCGCTTCGTTTCGCCGTCATTTATCGCTGTTTTGTTTCTATTTTTGTTCGCTTTCGGTTTACATCTCTTTACTGACAGCTTAGTTCTTGTTGTGCATTGCTGATAAGCGGCACGGCCTTTCTTATCAGCCAAAAATAATAATAAAACAAAAATACATTTACTTTCAGTCGTTTGCCTGTGTGCTTGTGTGCCAGTAAAATGTCATTCACTACATTTACCGCGATTTCTTCTTATAAAGTTAAGCCTCCGCAATATTCACATCGAACGCATTTTGTTGCCATTCCCCTGGAATGAAAACTTTTGCGGTCATTTTAAAAATAACTTTAGGTGATATGAGAAAAATATTTGCTTGTCCACTTTAGTTGTCTACTTGAATCGATGATACATTCGCATCTCGGTAGTTTCCGGTTTTATGGTCATATCGAGTCCGTGTGGTTCTCCGGAGTGCCCATTTTTTTTCTGCTGAGCAGTAATTAATTTTTTTTGGTAATATTTTAAAATAAACAACATTTACCTGCATTTGCGACAATTGCTGCTGCACATCCTCATCCAGTATGGGCTTGTGAAAAACAGTACTTAACAACAACATCGCATTCTTGGCCACCTCGGCCACGTTCAAATTCACACAGCTTTCCTTGTCCATGTTCATTAGATCCGCCAAACGTAGTGAATCCGAAGCAACAATGTCACCGTTTGCTTTATTCGGTACAATATTTAACTGGTTCATTGGCTGTCCTAATGCTCCATTGTAGGTATTTTTAGACCGTGCCAATTCATTTGAAATTGTTCGAATCCTGGGACCCAAACGAGCAGCCGTATTATTATTATTATTATACGAATTATTATTATTATTGTTATATGCATTATTATTATTATTATTATTATTATTATATGTATTATTATTATTGCTTAGCATTTGTGTAGCTGTGTTAAACGATGGACGATTTTGATTAGCTGAATTTATTAGTGCAGTTAGTGAGTTTGAGCCTGATTGCCAACTGACGTTGGCTTGTTGATAAGATTGAAAGTGATTGTGGTTTATATTGTTGCGCGCATCGACATTTAAATTTGAATTTGTATTTGAATTTGATATATCGTTTGAATTCAATGAGGAACTCACATTAAGGTTCGAGCGAGCGCTTTGAAAGTGACTGTTGATATTCATTAACACCTGTTGAGGTAGTTGCTTTGATTGATTTTTGTTGTTGATATTATTGTTATGATTATTATTATTTTTGTTATGATTATTATTATTGTTGTTATAATTATTATTATTATTATGATTATAATTATTATTGTTGGTATAATTATTATTATTGCTGCTATGATTATTTGTTGGTGTATTGTTAAATCTATTGTACGCGTTCCGCAAACGCTGTTCCGTAGGCATTTGACCACGCTGCTGATTACGGACTGGGTTATTACCTAGACGGTTGTTCAGAGCATTATTACGATTGGATGTATTCTTATTTTTGGTATAATGAGTGTTATTATGCTTGTTGTTGTTATTGTTTTTGAGATTAAAAGGACGTCGATTTTGTGGCTTATTTTGATAGCGGCGCGCACTTTGAGATTTTGGCTGATTACGCGGCGCATCCTTCGGTACCAAAGGTGCTGCTCCTTGAGGACGATTCACATTATTTGGTTTTATGCGCCACTGTACAGAAGTGACAGGTATTTCCGTTTTTAACACTTCAGCTCCTTTACTTGTGTCCATTGGCTCGTCGGTTGGTTCACACAGGTGATTAAAATCCTTAGAGTCAAAACTAATTTCATCCATATTTGAGTCCTGTTTGCAAGAATAATGCTCATCCACTTGTTTTGGTTCTTCCCCCTCATCTTCAAACTCGTCTTCTTCATCAGCGGAGTTATCTTTGTAAGATTGCAGACGTGCCGCTTGTCGTTGTCTCTTATCCGCATGGAATCCATAACGTTTGGGAATTTTTGGTTTGGGTTCTACACACTGCACGTAATATTCGTCTTTAAGAAAAAGAATATGAGAATATATTTTTTAATTAATTATTGTTTATGCTTTTTCATTGCTATATTACCGAGAGGCATCAAAATAGCAGGCGTGTTAAAGGAAGTCATAGCGAGTTGTTCCCAAAAATCAACTGCTCAAAAAAATTTCTTCAATTTCTGAAAATATGAAAAGCGCACAGCAAGGCATCAGATTTAAGAGAACAGTTATAAGTTCGATGGGCATGCATGCGTATGTCAAGGTAGCAATAAAAATAATCGAAAATAAGTGGTCAACTTATCGAAAAATATTGTTTCAACTCTGTGCGGTTAAGTAATGCAGCCAACTTAGCTAAGATCCGTCACTTTGATTCTGAGGGGATAACGTGAAACACTCTTTCAAGCTTGGATTTCGAAATGTAAGTAAATCAAAATGTTAAACATTAATATTGCAGCAAATATAACTGTGCTAAGTGTGTAATAAGCTTTTTTACAGAACTCAAAGCTGCAAAAGCAATTTTGAGTTCAGGACACTTACCTAAAGCCAGCTATAATTAAAATTGTAGTCACGTGGCTTGGGAGCTCGTTCCTGCGGCTGTACAATAGTTCTTTTTTTCTTATGTTAAGGGTTATTTTATAAAAATTAATCTTTTTGTTTTGTAGGTGAACTGTTATAATAGTCGGCTAAAGCAGCCCGTCATTGAATTTGGTAAGATATAACTTTTGCATGTAGTTTTCTATTATGCGAACTCGAGTCGCTGGTGTAAAGATCTCGTCTTTAGCTAGTGCTTTTTTCTGTTCGCAGAACAAATGCGCTTCGCCCAAGCATAACCCGAATTAATCATCAAAAATTTGCGGTGCATATTTTTCGTGAAGCCGACATTTCTATTTCTAAAATATAAACTTTTTTGCATATTTTTCGATTTTGCTAACATTTTCTCAATTTATAGGTAAAATGTGAACTTTTGAGTGGATTCGTTGCTATTGTTCCATTGAAAGAATAAAGGTGAGCTATTATTTTTAAACTGCTTGCTCGAGCTAAATTTTTCTGATGAGATTTTACTCTGACACCTCATATGAATCAATGTGATTCCAACTATTTGTAATTAATGAACTGAAGTTAATTTTTGAAATTAATTTTAAGTTGTCTTAAAATATTTTTAAACGAGAATTTTTGATTTTGTAGGTTATAGATGCTTGATTGAGGTGAACCACATGTAGAGATGTCTGCCCTACATGGATCAGAACTCCTAATTTGGGTTAGTATTACTTATGCAAGCTTTCCTTTTATATTGCATTTACAATGATGATCACTTAATTCATTCACAGACAACATATAAAAGTTAAGTGCTGACAACCTTCATCAATATTCTTTTGATGTAAGCGAGTCTTGCTTAGCCGGTTATGTACCCTGGTTAAAAAATTGACTCTGAGTTCTTATAACTATATGCCTTCTTTGTATATTTGAAAAGCAAATATTTATTATTAATTCACTTTCTATTGCAGGTGCGGAAAATTTGTGAACAGCAGCATCTTGTCCATCGTTATGCACTGTAAATGCATATACATTCAATAATAAAAAACAAGTGTTAACATCAGAAATCGTTTTTTACTAGATTAGCACGCTCTCTTAAAGCTAATTCCTGATTTTGTTTGGCAATCATGCGTTCACCCTTTGATTTCTTGCCAATGCCCAGTTTAGGTAGTCCACGATTAAGTCCTTCTAGTAGTACGCATGCTTTGCATGGCTGCTGTGAAGAGACGAATCCGCAGCGCTCGCAAATCCCGCGCACAGGATTCTTCACTGTATCCTTAAATCGCAGTTGCTCACCCGAATAAATAATGTCCATTATGACAGAGGGGCGCACTTTTTCCAGATCCTTGAGAAAAGCTCGTGCGTGTCCTCGGTAGGCATTTGGGGCAAATACGCACTCGGTGGAGAAGTAAACCAGTTTTTTGTAGTGCGCATACATTACGATCTCCTTTTCGTAGCTGTATTTAAGTGGCTTCACTCGGGATATGGTATCCTCACTGCCACCTGTGCGAATATTCGTGCAACGACGTAATCGAGCCGTGTCACCTCGCAGAATATTCATCAGTACAGTTTCTGCAATATCGTCAGCGTTATGGCCTGTGGCGATGCTGTCAACACCCAATAGCTTTGCTCCTCTATCCAATGCCTGACGTCGAAACACGCCACAAAATGTACAATTGTTGGAGCGACCTATTTGCGCCACAATGCGATCCATAGTCCACCCGTAAAGTTCTTCGTAGGATAGGATTTTAAGTGGCATTTGATAATCATCGCGATTTTTTTTAACCGTTTCTAAACTGTCGTCCCGATAGCCTGTGATGCCTTCATCAATGGAGAGTAGCACCAAATCTAGCCCATAATTGTGGCGTTCATTGAGTAGCTTTAGGCTGAAATTTGGGACATTAGTTAAGTTATAAATAGTTTAAGCACAACTTACACATGAGCCAGAACTGTGGAGTCCTTGCCACCGCTGGCAGCGACAGCAACTTTCTCGCCGCGTCGAAAAAGCTTACTTGAAATAATTGTGTGATGAATCTCGGCCTCAAAGGCAGCAAAAAAGCAGGCTTTGCACAAAGCATCACCTGTTTTGGGACGCTGTAAAAAGTCTATTGGTAGTTATATATCTTTTAACACTGCCTCACTTACCTTTAAACTGGCCCTGTTGCCACATTGAGCTTTGCAATCTATAGGCATTTTATATGAAATATATAATGTTTATAAACAACGTGATGTGGATATCGAATAACTGTTATCGATAACAAAATTTAGTGTTGACTAATGTCATAGTGCTAACATAAAAATAAAAAGGGTTACTCTTAACTGTATAAATGTTAGCTTATTATGTATACAAAAATATTGATGACAGTCCTATTTATATTGACATAGTAGTATTTATATTGACATAGTATTGTTTGACTCTTCAAAATATTATTTTAATTCATGTTTAAGAATCACAATTATTTGTAATAATTACTTTCATCAATATTTTTTTAAGGGACTACCCTTACCCGGCAGTTTGCCTAGAATGCAAACAAAAATTTTAAATGATGACTTTAGATGATGAAAGCGAAAAATACATACAGGAAAAATTATATCGTAGCCGCGGCAAATGTGGTATGTAATGCTAACTATAAATTATATTTGTGTTAAAAATTAATTTATCAAAACGCAGCAATCTATGCATGCCAATCGGATATATACGTCGAGCTGAAGCAGAAATCCAATGCGCATGCTAGGACATCAATTTCCGCAATGGTTGAGAACGCCAATAGTTTCACACTCGATATTGGGCACGATGTTTGGTTTCAAATAGCCATGCATTTAGATCCAGAAGATGTTCAGACCTTTGCCTTGGTCTGCAAGCAGACTGCGAAGCTGGTCAATTCTCGAGTCTTCTGGCGTAATATGTACAAACGATATTGCATGGGTAGCACAGCCAAGGGCTGGAACTTGGAGCTGCCTGCTCAGTTGCAACTGGAGCAGATACGTAACTGTGATACGAAAACGCTACGTGCTAAAGTTATTGAGGCGCTTTACCACTGCTATAGTCCACTAAAAACGCGCCTGGAACTGGGCTATAGCCTGGACTGGTTGCTGCAACGTACATTTATGTCCTGCTCGCAACAGCAATATCAATGCTTGTGGATCATATGCTATGCACTTCGGAATCAACAAGCAACAGCGCGTAGAGGGTTAGCTGACGATGCCGGTGAGTTGGCGCAAGGGGGCAACGAAGTGATCAATGATTGGGAAGCGTTGGCAGAGGATGCTGAGCTGTCTGCAGGCACAGCCAACTATTGCTCCTATCGTCATGAAGGTGTTGTTCTCCTAATTGTACTGTGCCGGCAATTTGTGCCACTGCCGCTACAGTTGCTCTACAATCAGCAACAGTCGCTCTTTCGCTTGAAGGCCACACGCGAACTGCTCTGCACGGATATGCGTGCCAAAAACTTGGAGCTGGACTTTGTCGAGGACAATAGTAGCAACAGTCTGAGCGTCACTGTTAAATATTCACGCATTGAAAAGTACAAAGTTCTGCCCTGGTGGCATCCAGATTTCAAAAGGTTTCTCAAATAAATTTCAAATTATTTTAATATATAACTTGATGCATCGTATAGATGACGAGGTTCCTGTAACATGTACGCCATACTGTCTTCACTAAATATTATAAATATTATAACTATAGTGGTGGATATATAAATTCTATAAGATCAGGAAGCCAGCCAAGGGTCAGATATATCAGTTTTTAGAAAAACGAAATCTTTATCAGTGTTGTCGCTATTGTAGCAATCAGGTGATTCTACATGAACTTTTGTGGGGCATCGAAGAGACCTTATCTCATATGTGGTGCATCCATGTATACAATATACAAGCCAGATGACAGACTGAAAACATATGTTATACATTGTTTGGTTACTACCGGAGAGCTTCCCATTTGAATTGCAGATAAAATGTCGAACGTAAATTGGATCGTTCTATACATATAGAAAGTCGAACGTAGAACGCGTTTTCTTTTTGATACGTAAGTTTATAAAAGCGATTTTTTTCTTTCGTTATGTTATGTTAAAGGATATACAACTGGAAGATTATTGATATATACATACACACATTCAACTTAAACTTATTTGTGAGTTACATACAAAAAAAACATTTAGAGGTGTTCGTTTTGAAATGTTGTGTTGTCTTTTTTAGAATTGGAGCTAAGCCACGGCGTGGTTTGTTGTTCTAGAAAGACGTGATTCTGATTACACCTTGCCTAGTAGATCGTGTCCATACGGTTTCTTGCGGTAGCCGCCTTTGAAGGCGAACAGCTTAAAGGCGATCACCATCATGACAATGCAGAAGGCGTAGAGGAACATGCCCATACGCATATCCATGTCGGAGAAGACGTTAGAGATCTGACGCTTCTGTCGCATGGTGTCCAGAGTCTCGTGCAGCAGCTCCGAGCGTTGTACACCGAAGCGACTGACAAACTGTGGATTGTGAATGTTCTTCAGAAAACTGAGCACCGCATCCTTGTTCCAGTCAATTGACAGATTCTCTTGCGACGCGGTTGCTGGCGCATTGCGGCACTGGGCACAGCTTTTGGCACTGGGAAATTGTTGTTTAGGGAATTCTGGATCCTCGGTGTCGTCGCCGGCCAGACGTTGATTGACCTCATTATGTGCTGCCCACAGCCAGAGCACAGCGTCGTCTTTCGATGCAACGTTCCAGATTTTACGACGCGTTGCCATTGCCTAAAACAGAAGATCGCACAACCCGTTAAAGCACACTTGTGTCAATATAAACAGCTGGTGTTAAGACAACAATGTAGGTCGTTTAAGTTAATACCGCAAACAAAAATAATATAATTAACAATTGCGTAATATTGGAGTTAATAAATCCGAGTTAATTAGTAATTTCTTAAATTTTTGCAGCAACAGCATGTTTTGATGTTGTAAAATAAAGGTTCTTTGACCCCTCTTGAATATATGTATTTATATATATATAAATATATGTCAAATCAGCATAAATATTCAGCAAAAACTAGACATCTGTATAAACGTTAAGATATGTAGGTTATCTAGAGTAGTCTAGACAAATTTGTATGCTTCAATATCGGCAAACTAAGCATTTAGGCATATTTTTATATATCTTTCAGATTGCTGACGTTTTTAGAATTGTTCAATAGCAAATGATTGCAAGGGCCTATGAGTACAAGCAATCTTTAAATATTAGTTTTTTTCTTTTTGTTTCAGTCATCGACTTTGTTTTCATTTTAGTTGTTTCTTTTATTCATTCAAATTAAGTTTCTGCTCAACGTGCTAATTGTATTATCGTGAGTTAGAGAGTTCAGTTACTTAAGAACTAGATATATGGGTTTGGGAATATACTAGTATAATGAGTAATACGTGAGTAATATGGATATATATTACGGTTGATTGCGCTTTTACTTGATTGTCCCCAATGAGTATGAGACGAACTGACTAATGCCTATTTAACTCAATATATATACATATATATAGAATATTGGACAGCTTAAGTTGAGCTAATGTTATTGGCATAAAACTCCTATCTTCTGTGTATGGGACACCGAATATTTACGACGTTAGTAAAACCCTAGGTGTGCTCAAAATTGACGAGCTAACCAAAATTAGTGTTAGACTACCCTCATACATATGGAAATATGGAAATAGCTAAGCTATTAGATAACCCATGTTTTCTGTATTTACTAATTTTTCTGTTAATGTATACGTATATGATCTTTGCGGGCTTTAGATCTACTAAAATGCAATAATTAGTTCTAGATAAATAATAATAAAATAAAATATATTTGCGCTGAAGAAATAGCTCAGAACCAGAAACTGAATTTAATTGTTATTCTAAGCTCCTTATCTAAAATACTTTCAGGCTGGAACAATTGATTGGTTAACCATACCAAAAGAAAAAAAGCAAACTATAGTTTTATAAATAAAGGCTGTGACAGCAGTTGTTGTTTAACAACAAATCAGCGCAAACGAATTCTCTATAAAATATATATATCTATATATATTTATGTATATAATGACTAGGCAAATACTCCCATAAGCTTTAGAGCGGCACCCTTAGGCCGCTCGGAGGTCAACGCTGATCTCATATAGAAAGCGTTTGCTACAATACACGTAGGCAAACAACTAAATTGCTGTGTGTGTGTGTGTGTGCGTGAGAGTGAGTGAGATTGACTCACCTGGAAGTGTTCGCTGCAGTCGGTGCAGCCGAAAAAGTTTTTGATATAGCCATGCATAGCCTGGAGCACTTCGAGTGGATCCTGCGACTCCTCGTTGCCCGCTGCCTGCACGCTCATAAAGTGAAACAGCGTCCACAGCGAGCAGCTGAAGCCACGATAGTGCGGACTGGAGCCCGCGCAGCCCACGTACTGAGTGCTCGAGTAGATTTGCCCAAGTTTCATTTCCAAACGTCGTATTTCATCCTCAAACTCTTTACCCGTCAGCTTCTGATTGAATTGCACAACGAAATCCTTTAACTTGGCAACTAGCTGGCGTCCGTTTGTACCAAGTGGGTTATAGCGTTGCAGGACGGTGAGGAAACGCTGTAGAGCCAGCAGCCGATCGCCGCTGATTTCGTTTACTTTGGCCACCTCGTTGTGCAGGATGGTGCGTATTGCCTGCTCCAGATCTGCCTGATAAATGATATGCTTGTTGCGCTGCACTTCCTTGATAATTTGTGTGAGCGAATTCTGCGTACTGTCGCTATTTGCCTGCTGCTGGGCTTCAGCTTGGTTTGATTTCGATGACTGTACGGTTCTTGGCGTAAAGTTCAGAGCATGCAGCGCACCTTCTATAGATTTGGCATATGCATCGCTGCTCTGTTCCGATGGCGTGTGTAGCTTAACATTTCCCTGTCGATCGACAAGCGCCAACTGTTGCTGATTGATGTCTAGCTTAAATTTCGCTGCAACGGCTGGATCGCTGAAACGACGCACCTGCACGGTGGGCCATTGTAGCAGGAATAGTGCCGTTTCAGCAGCCAGCGTGGAATTCTCCGGCTCATAGATGAGTGCTATGTACTGACGCAGGCTGTTCAGCCCTTCAAAGAGATCTGATGCACTCTCACTTTCCGCAACAGGCACGAAATTTGGCCAATATGTATTGTTCATGGTATGATTCTCGGCAGCCACCATACCAGCGAGCAGGCTGCGTATTTCATCGGGCTTCTGGGACTCCAGCTTTAAGCCATATTGATTGGCACTGGGCTGGAAGCCTGGGCGCATATAACGCAGAGTTGGATAGCCCATTACCTCGTAGTTGCGGCAAATACCATTATTTTCCTCGGCAGCACAATCAATGGCACTGACTATGACGACTTCCTGCCAGGCGTGCAGCTGCTCGGCAATCTGCTTGTAGGTGGGCGCAAATCGTCGGCAATGCCCGCAATATGTATTGTAGAATTCAACGAGCGAGCCGCGATTCTGTTCGAGCACAGTTTCATTGAAATTGGCCACTGTTAGCTTGACCACTTTATCGCTGTCATCGTATAGGCCGAGCTCCTCGTCCACCGGCGCTGATTGCTGTTTTAATATCGCCTCGTATCGGTTGAGTGGGACGCCAGCAGTGATCAATTTCAAAATACATAATATTATTAAGCATGCCAGCTGCGCACCTTGTCGAGTCATTGTTTTTTAGCCGTGTTCGCTGGATTTAAAGGTGTTCAGTGCGCAATGCAATGAGAACGACTGATACGATATTTCCTACCGTAGCATTTGGAATGTTTTATGGTTTCAATAATTTTGATTAGCCACACAGCGTTTTTTGTGCACTCTCTCCTCTGATTCTTATTCTGCTTCTCATTTACGTACGCTCGCGCTAATAGCTCTTAATAGAGATGAGCACTTTCAGTAAATAAGTGACTCAGTCACGGTGAGTCACGAGTGGGAATCGGAGATTATTTAAACATATTGAGAAAGGATGCAGCAGATTACTACACTACACGATCACTGGTTAGATAACAATTAAAAAACATTAAGGTAGGGTAAGCGTAGCAAAATTGTCATTCAATAGCAACAAATCTGCTAGGCTTCATGTTTTTGGAAATGTATGTAAAGGGACTTACTAAGGAATATAGTTATTGAGGTAGGGCCTATAGCTGACAAATGTTGCTGTCTCTAACTCAATGTAACAGGTTCGCAGACGGTAATGCCTAGACTTGATCAAGAATGTAAATACACACAACAAAATATGTATATTTGAAATGTAAAAAATATGTACAATTCGAACATTATGATAATTTAAAAATACAACTTGTAAGAAAATTTATAATTGTGCTTCTACAAAAAATCACAGTTTGGCTGCTTTAATGAAACAGCCCTCACACATAAAACGATAAGCGATATGAAAAAGTATCGATTAGCTGAAATACGATATTCACATATTGTCATAAGTACATCACTTGCATTGACAAACAAATTTGAAAGTGTTAAACAATTAGATTAGTTTAGTGACATTAAGATGATATTACGCCCATTGCATAGGGCTCTTTTGCCGCGCTCTGCAGGCGATGGGATGTGCTTTATGCTTATTGCAGCTGGGGTACCGCTAACTTACATATTTCAAGTGACAGTTATTATGCCCGAACTGCACAACGTAGGTAGTTTTTGGTATACAATAATTTGGCTCGCCGGCATTTTTTTGGTTTTCAATATAACGTCCAATTTGTTGGCCTGTATGCTGGTGGATACCTCCATTAAAAGTAAGTAGCTTAATATTGTGGAGGATGCATTTATATTTTGCAAATCTTTGCTTTGCAGTGCATATATTGAAGCCCCCATTGGAGCCGCAGCTGCTCAGCCGTTGGCATATGTGCGACAGATGCCAGGCGCTGGTACCTCCACGTTCGTGGCACTGCGAGACCTGCGACGTGTGCGTGCTCAAGCGGAATCATCATTGCCGCTTCACCTGCTGCTGTATTGGACACCACAATTATCGTTATTTCTTCTATTTTTTGTTCTACATGGGACTGGGAGCTCTTTACGTTACAATCAATGCCAGCATATATCTGTGGTATCTCCATGCCGACTTCTATTGGCGCCCTTACACATTAGTGACCATCCTTGTACCTGCTATTAGTCTGACTGTACATGCCAGTTGGGAGAACTTTTATGTTGTAATCTATGAGCTGAACATTTTGGCATTCCTCATGTCCGTGCTGATGCTCATTTATCATCGGCCCATCTTACAGCGTGGCACCGTAGTAAAGGATCGATTAAGCAACGCATACAATCTAGGCCTTCGAGGTAATATGGAAATGGTGCTGGGCAAACGGATGTATTGGACCTGGCTGTCGCCTTTTGTGCGCAGTGAACTGCCGCATGATGGAGTTAACTGGCTGCCCTTGACGAAAGAGGAATGAATCTAAATCTGCTTTAGAGGCTAGTCTTATATTCCTAAGTAATCTCACAACCTAGCACAAATATGTCGAATTTTAGTATTACATAATGCATTCCTTGCATTTATTTAACATTTTATATTTATTGCAAATTACAAAAACGAATTTAATGACTATTGCCTTTCTTATTTGTTGATGAAACCTTCGCCGACTAGGGATTTCAGCTTGGCCAAATGCACTTCGCTGAGAGTGAAGCCTTCGTGAATACGCTTTGCCAGTGCACTCGTTTCCATGTTGTTCTCAACGGCATACTGAAGGGCCAACAATGCCTGGCTGGGCGATTTGTTTAGAACGGTCGCCTCGATATACTCAAACAGAGCACTATCTGCGGGTGTGCCGGGAATGCGGTGCTGTTGCTTGTCAATGTAGTTGAACACTTCGACGGCCTGGTCGAAGCTACTGTTGTCGCGCACTAGTAGGGTCAGAATGTCGCCCAACATTTGGCCAGTGAAGGAGACTTTCTTGATGCGTTTAACGGACTCCTCGATCTTGTTGTACATATCCATCGCCACTTTGGCGCACTGCTTAGGGAGCTGCTGCTGGGCGGGCAATTCAGGATTTGGACGATTGTCCACCATAATGCGGAGTACGTAAAGCAACAGACTCTCGCGATGAGTGTGATCGAAGATGACCATGTCCGACCAGATGCGAGGCACGTGCTCAACAGCTCCATTGATCTCGATAGCTCTGAGGATCTCCTCCATGATACCCGGCTCGGGTATGTAGATGTTGGGCACCAGCATATCATAAAATTGCATAAAATCTTCAATGGATTCAGTCTGGCAGAGCAGCGCTAAATAATTGCGATAGTAAATGCCTTCTTTGAAGGAGTCGCCAATCAAATCGTAGTTGTTGCCAGTGTGCAGCAGGTCGTCTACCCTCTTTGCCAAAGCCTTGTCATGCAAATGATTGCGGCACACATCCATGGCCGTGGCAAAGAAGAATGTATCCTTCGGATGCTCCACCTTGAACTCCTTGCCGGCAATATCATTCAGAATGTCTATAATGACATGTGAGACAGGTGCGCGCTCCCGACAGAATATAATCAAGAGATAGTAATAGGAGCCCAGGCTAGGCGTCACGCCGAGTTGCTTGAATTCTGGCAGCACTTTTAGTGCTGAGCTGCGTGCCAATTTAAAGTTTCCAAATGTGCTGATGCACTCAAGTACCGCATTTAGCGTACCCAGATTGGGTTGCAGTTGCTGTTCCGCCATTTGATTTAGCAGCGACGTGCACATCTGCCAGCGTAGCTCGGCTGTATCCTTGATGAAGCTAACAATCTGTATGATGGCATTATACGTATTAGTGTCCAGCTGGATCCGCTTCTCATTGGCTTCCTGGAGCAGGGCATAGGCACGCTCACACTGCAAGTATTTGGCCATTCCTCGTATAAGCGCTGCATAGGATTGGGGTGTCTTTGGCTCAATTGCTGCGTAGAGTTTCTCAGCTAATTCCCCATCCTTCCAAGTCTTGCCATGCCGTTCACGTCGACGATTGTTTTGCATGAACCAGCGCTCCTCAATATATTCTTCTGGCAACGGCTCTTGATTGTTGTAGAAGCACACCAGCTCTAATAAGCTCTGTTTCAGCGCATCAGTAACCTCAATGCCCTTTTGTTCCAATAGATTATACACTAGCACAGCATCCGTCACCTCACCTTGTGAGATGAGCAGCTGCAGAGAACTCGCATCTACCTCTGATTCCTCCGTGTAGACCATGGATGGTGCAAACTTTTCAATGGGTGGCTGGGCTTCTTGGTGCTATGGGGCATTTAAAAGAATTTTATAATATATATATTTTAGTCGAGTGAAACACTTACCATAAACAGCTCGCGATGCTCCTCTTTGATCCAATTGGCTGCCTTGCGCCCAGCCTCCTTCGATAAAGCATATGTTCGTTTTGCGATGTTCGACATGGGTATCAGAAAGGGATCATCGTGATATTTATAGTGCGGTGCCGTTGAATCGCGTCCCACGGTGCTGGCCAACGCCTGCAGCAGATCTGTAGGCGATCGTTCAATGCGTTTTGGAATTTCAATGTGCTCTGCAGCCGGTCTCGCAGCGGTTGTGTAATGTGTGCCATTGCCGCTGGCTATGTGACGCGTTAGCCTAGACCTGGGCAGCTGTCTTAACTGGCGCGAAAGGTACATAATGAATAAATTTGGGATGTGTTAGCTCAACACTTTCAGTTAAAAAGAATTAATTTTCAATTAACAAATATTATTCGCTAACACAGTGGCAAGAGCAGTGTGACCGAAGTGAGGCAATCGTTGAATGCGCAACAGCTGATCAATGCGGCTGGCTGAAGAGGTATATCGATAGAATATCGTTACAATTGTGGCGGCTTACAATAGTTGCTCCACACTACGCGCGTAAATAAAATTCAAAAACTTCTGAAATTGGGATTTTAATTTTAATATTCATTTGTATTTTTTATGCATATTTTAACAATTAAGAAGTTTTAATTTTTAAAGCTTTTATTAAGTATGCGGTATTATATATTACTAGGGCTTCTTATTTTAAATTACTTTAAGCGATGTTTACACAGAGATTAAAAAGATCGCCGACCACGCTCTCTTGCTCTCACTCTCTCGCTCATCCTCTCTTTAAGCTATCGCAGATTTCTACATTAAAGAGAAGCTGAGATTGTTTGGCATTTCAGTTGCTTGGTAGCTCTACCTGTGTTTGCTTGCTTTGCTGTTTATCTGTTCAACTTTTTTTTATTTGTTATGTCTATACCGATCTTATATTACGATGACCGCAGTCCACCCGCGCGCAGCTGTCTGATGCTCATCAAAATGTTGAATATCAATGTGGAGCTGCGGTTCGTAGATTTATTCAAGGGCGCACAATTTGACAAAGCCTTCTTGGCAGTGAGTATGTATGCAAATCGTTGGCAGAGCTGAATACTAATTATTTATCCTCCAGTTAAATCCACAGCATAGCGTTCCAACGCTTGTGCATAATGAACTACTTCTCACAGATAGTCATGTTATACTCATCCATTTGGCGGAGCATTTTGATGGAGAGGGCAAATGGTGGCCGAAGGAATATGCAGACAGAATGAAGGTGCTTAATCGCCTGTTCTTTGAGTGCTCTTTCCTCTTTCGCCGTGACAGTGATTTAATGGTACTTAGCTGTCGCTTAATTGTAAGCTATGATATTTACAAATTCCCTTTTGCCTCTATCCCATTTGCTGGCAGTCGGAAATCGTGCGCAAGCAGTATGCCAATGTGGATGTGACTTACCATAAGCGCAAGCTCCACGAAGCGTACGACATCATGGAGCACTATCTGGACGGCCAGAGCTACATGGCTGGCGATCAGGTTGGCGACCACAGCAACTAAATGCATTCCCCATTTCATCTTAATTGCATTCACTGCCAACTATGTTTGGCTTTTACAGCTAACGCTCGCCGATATATCCATTGTGACCACATTGAGCACGGTGCAGCTCATGTTTCCGGTGGAGGCAGCACGTTGGCCGCAACTACAGCGCTGGTACGCCACAATGCGGCAATTGGATGCTTACGAAGTGAATCGACTAGGGGTGGAAAAACTACGCGACATTGTGCAACAACTGGGCAAATTTGAATTTCCCAAGCAGCAGCTCTGATTAAGCTGCAGCTTATTTTAATGAACCGGTTCAAAGCGTTAGCTTGGATTATGGCTTAAACTGTCAATTAAAATTGCTCTGGAAATAAAGGTAGATTTGACTAAGAAAGTGTTCAGAAGTCAATGTAGAATTTCATCAGCTTCTGAAAATATTTTAATAGCATTTATTTTGCTTCCTAATTAGAAATGAACTAAACATAAATATCGAACCGGTTTAGAAATATAAGTTAATCTATATATGAACTGGAACTGTTAAGGATTCTTCTACACATCAATTTGCAGTATAAAAGAGAAGCTTAGTAGCTTCCCTAAGATACATCAAACCAGCTGCTGGAGGCATATAGAAAGACGAAACATTGGTCCAGGAACCGAACCATCTGCTGCTCTGCTGCTATCACATCCATCATATTAAATAGCAATTATAAACATATCTCACATCTCCCATACGCCAGCCTAATTTGCTATGTACGCTGTTTGTTTAAAGCCCATTACATATAAGTATGTACAAATATAGAAAAGCGCTAATGATATTTCGAATTATGTCTGGACATCATTAGCATATGGCTCAGTTGTGGAGCCAGTTGATTTGACTGTGGGTTGGTTACGCACTCTGTTTGCACTCGAAATGTTGGCTAATATTTGCATGCGGCGCGATAAGGACGAGTGGGACGACAGGCATGTCATGCCTAATGGCCATATCGAGTGCGCAAATTTGAGTTGGGTAAAAGTAGGGTAAATGGCTTTCAAGTATTACGCGGCGTTAATTGCACGCAAACCCGCGTAATATACAATTTCGTGCTGGTCACCCAGCTCAAATAAACTTCAGAGATCCCTTCAGACGACCTCTCCTTGACCGTGACTGCGCTCATCTATCCTCCTCTGACTTTTGCACTCAGGTGCTGCACAGCTGCTGCAACTGCAATACGATTTGCTTTTGTCTGCAAAAATCTGCGCTGGGGCACGCAGCAAACTTTGTAGTCAGCAAGTTTTTCAATTTGCCAAGCTGTAATCCAACATTTATTTGCGACACCATGACAGACCCTTGATTAGCTTATATATTTTTTCTGAGCTGCATATTGTGTATGCAATGCATCCCGAACAGTTGAACTGCAATGAAAAAACATAATATTAGTATTATTTAGAAGATAATTTAATACTAAAGACTTACCTGCCTCTGTTTCTCTGTGTGTTTTCGATGACTTTCATTGTCTCCCTTCCTCTGTCTCTCTCGGTCTACCTGTCTCTATTTCTCTTCACACTTTCCCTCTAGTTTTTTGACATGTTTCACACGCTTATAAAATTTTATTCATATATTTTATTTACTTTATTTATTAAATAACACGCTTTGAATATTGTTTTCTTTTTGCTTCTACTATTTGCATTTTACGTAGGACTCGATTAAAAGCCAAACTGCCGGCAACTGATTTTATTTATGTTCATTCGACAGCGACAGCAGCTAAAGGGAAACAAGCAGTCAGGAAGGAGGAAGGGACAGGGCATGTGGGCGTGGTTCACACAGAGGCCAGAGCATGATGTTTGTAGAACGTAAAAGCGAAATCGAATCGAGGCGAATCGAATGGGTTTCATATTGAATTTAAAGCAATGCCAACAGCAGCTATTTGCTCAGGCTTTAATTATATTTATTGTATATAATTTAATATACAAATAATTATGTTAAACAGCAGAAGTAGAGCTGGGGTGTGGGTGTAGGTAAGTGCATAAATTGCGAGCAGAAAAGGCGCAAATACAAACGAAAAACAAAACGCCTAAAAGCAGGCAACGACTTTTGTCAAGAGGCGCCATAATTAAGCGCATAATGAGTGGAAATTAGCGAGGCTGTTAAAAGTTACAAGCAAGGGGGCGGAGCGAAAGGGGATAGCTGTGAGGGTAGGGGCAGCAGGCCTAAGCCCTACGGCACGCTACATTGCAAATCGAGTTGCAAATGACAAACGACACCAGCAACAGCAGCGGCAGCAACAACAACAAAACACTTTTTGTCGGCCTCTTCAAAGTTTTTTAGGGGGTCGCGGCAGTGGAGTGGATGTGGGTGGCTTATGTAGGTGACGGTTCCTGCAGGTGTTAGGGTCTGTAACTTGAGCTTAATGCTGAAAAATACATTTTGCAAATTGATTTATGTGTAAAATGTTGCTTTGAAGTCGCAATGCGACGCCTTAAACACGAGTAGCTGCTCTCCGACACCCACAGCTGTGCCCACCTGCTCCTGCACCTTTTACTCAATTTAACGAAGTGTAGACCTTTCCACTCGCTAAGTCTCAAATCACATTAAATGCTGCCCCCTATTAACTGTTTGTTTTAAAGTGTTAGCCCCAACTAAATTCGCAACATTCGACCGACCGCAGTTAGCGAAGCGTACGCTGCGGAAATATTGACAAAGTTTTATGGTCCAGGCATTCCATCAGCACTTTAAGCAACATTTGTTGATTCTATTTATTCTATTTGGGTCAGTCCGAAGTTTTGCTCTGCTGTTTTCTCTCTGCCTTTTTTTTGTTTGTGGCTCTGTGTGATGGAGGCTCTGAATTATTGATTAAAGAGGCAGCAGACAAAAAAATGAATGGAGATGGCGTGAAGTGGTCGAAACTGTTAGGCAAAGGCATATCCTGTAGGGGACTAACCGAGTTCTTCTTAAGCAACTGCTCAGATTTCATTTTAGATGGATTATAGCTGCTTTATATGTCAAGCTCTTGGCTACTCTCTGCTCATAGTAGTTATATTTTATAGTTAAATAAGATGACGTTACACCCTAGGTTATTCACCTGAGTCTAACTGCAGCTTGACTTACATATATACCATATATTCTATATGCTGTCAGCTGTTATGACCTACATCATTCGACATACCCTCGGCCCACTCACTGCTCTTCCCAGGGTATACGAATATCTTTTGACTTTCAGGTCTCTTGGCCAATTATTACCTGTAAGAGAGTTTTTGCCCTAATTTTATCTGCTTTAAGCTTGAATGAGCACCAATATTGCATTGAATTCAATATGTATTTGGGTTTGGGTCGACCTTTTTATTTATATTTTTTCTTTTCGCCTGGAATTCGTAATTAGGGTTTTTTATATTACGACTAAATTGGCCAAATGAAATGTTGGCAGGCAAACTTTTCGCAGACAAAAAGCCAAGCAAACAAAAACCAGCCAAAACTCGAAATAAACGACTTCAAAGGATGCCGCAGAGTACAGCCAAAACAAAACCAGAAGAAGAAGAAAACACGAAGCGGTATAAACAGAAGACAAATACAAATAATTAAAAAATGTGCGTCAATTATTGCCCAAGACATGGCGGAATTATTGAGGCGAAAATAAAGGGTAAGCGAAATGCTTAGCCGCAGGATTTTGCGAATGCTCATCAAATTTTAATTGCCAAATAGAAATTCGAAATAGACGTCAAGAGAACTGTGCGCGAAACTTATAAATATCGGCGTCAAAGCTCTGCGCTCTGTCTGTGATTTAGAATGTCGGAGCACACGGCGTATGCGCGATGCGCTGTATTTATTTTTATGGCCCGATGACGACATTGAGTCGCGAGTTTTTCCAATTAAATATTAAAGCAGCAGCAGCGACAGTCCACATAAATAACACGCCAGCTATTAATAGCGAAGAAAACTGTCTGCAGTAGACAACTATTTTGCCACATAATTTCTTGTTTATTTTTAAAGCACACACAAATGAAATCCTATTTTGCGGCGTAAGCCAAAAGTCAAGTGCGAATTATATTTGGCCAACATTCGCATTCGCATTGGCGTTGGCTTCACTTCATTTCCTTTTCCTGGTTGTAAAAACAAACGGAAATTCGTTGAACATCTCTCTCTTTACTCTAAACAATAGCCACAAGTGGCACAACATTCACCCAAAAAGGCAAAAATAGGCAATCAACCCTAAAGGACAGCGTTGTACACCCACGCATTAAACCCATTTTCGCTTGACTTCATTGCGGAGTTTATGCGCTGGCCATTCCCTACCATCTGCCATTATCTAGGGGATATTCTCGCCTGGGCTTACACTATGTAACAATCCTATTCAAAGCTTATACTCCAATAATATTTGATGGGGGTTTAAGAGTCTGCTTTGTGTTGCATTTGAATCCTCTGAATCATTTGGGTATCTGCGTTGTTGAAAGCCAGTCTGTCTACCATTATTCGAGGCTATGCTCAACTACCAAATAGTATTCATGAGATCTGCAGAGTTCAAGCCAAACTTTGAAAATTTTATTTTTATTCTCTATCTGGGGCATATTATAGTTCTGGCTGGCTGTATGTAACAAGCTCCAACTAATACACCATTAATAGAAGCTCGCATGCACACTCTTATACGAATTTCAATCTATATTATTCCCAGACTTTATTTCAAGCCAATACCCTACTCCTGTACAGCACTCTTGTTTTTGAATCTTATACTCCATTCTTATACTACACTCATAATCGATAATCCGTTATCGAATATCACAAGATCATTTCGATTGCCATTCTTAAGCCCCAGTCTTATACTCCACTTTAATACACCACTCTTGCACTTCAATTACTATACATCACTCTTATACTCCACTATACTGCACTCTTATACTTCAATGTTATTACTTACTGTTGTACTCCACTCTTATACTGAATTACAATACGCCACTCGAAAGCGTCACTCTTATATTCCACTCGTATACTCTACTCTTATAATCCACTCTTACACACCACTCTTAAGCTGCCCTTCTATACCCCAATTTTAATATAAATATTTGTGCCAATTAAATTTCTAGGGTATTTACTAGGCGGTCTCTAGTTAGCTATTGTTTGTCGTCCATTCTGTTGGCAGTTTTGGCCACTGCTTTCGGCTGTATTTTGGAATGTGTGTCCTTTGTTACAATTTTATGTTGATTTATGTGAAAATAATCCAGGCGCATTTAACATGGAGTGCTAGGCCTTAAACGTAAGCCTCCCTTTTAGACCTCGGTCGTCCTGTTGCAGCTGCCGCAAATCAAATTGACGAAACAAACAAACGTACAAGTGTTCAAGCGGCTAACTTATTTATTCAAGTGGGCGAGAAGTGCTCGTAACGAAACTTAGCTAATATACACTGTAAGCAGATAGGTAAGTGGGTATATTGATTGAAATTGTAAAAATCAGGAATTGGGAAAATTTGATATTTGAGAGGATTTATGAGATTTTTTCTTTAAGTTTCTTATAAGAATGATAGTACCTATTGATAATTTATCGGTTTATTACAAATCGTATGTGCTCAACACGCTCTAACTATTACTCCTACAGGGTATCTAGCAGCAGTCATCATATTATTAAGCAATTTTATTTGCTAAATGAATTGAATTTTGATTTCAATTTACATTGTTTCACACAAACAACAAGTGTAATTCAATTATAACAAGTTTATTGGTCGCAAGGAGCATTCGAAAATTAAACTTTATTTGACCAATAATGATTTAGAAAAAATAACAATAAAGGCAATGCAAAATGCTTGTAATTTAATTACAATCAACAAATTTTTAATTTGCAGCTGATATAATTGCCAAAAGGCAAATTTAATACACTTAATTGCTAAAGGACTGTGGGACTGGCCGAAAATCCATTGACAACAGCCAAAATTTTGTTAATTAAAAAATAGCTGCCTAGAGGGCCACCTTATCAGAGAGAAAGAGAGAGAGAGGGATGGTGATACTGGGTCGGTGGAGGACCCTAACAACTGGACCGCCTTGGCCCACAGCGGCCGTAAAAATAAACCAACACGCCATGCGGCGAGAATGTGTGAAAAACAACAAATACCGCTCCTTTTACTGCGCTGCTCCACTCCCACTCTTCACGCTCTCTCTGCACTCGTGTCATCTCAATGGCTCGAGAGTCCAATAGCCTACGCGTACGTTGAGAGGCGCCTGGAAAATCTCAATTGCTGACGCAGCGCCACATTTGTTGTTTTTTCTTCTCTTCCACCTGTTCGGCGCGGCCACAAAAATAGATTCAACCCAGCACACAATTTGTGCGTGGTCTGTGCGCCTTGTACGCGTATGCCAGCGATTGTTATCGAAATTGTATCCGCTCTAGCAGCAAGACAAAAAAATGTTATCGCCGTCAATGTCTGCGTGTGGGCAAGGTCACACAGTCGCAGCTTTTGGCCTGCCCTCATTTTACTTAACTTTACGTTTATTATTGTTATTTTTCTTATATTTTGATGTTATTGTTTCAGTGTGTGTGTGTGCGTGTGTGTGTTGGCTTTTTGGCAAATGTATGCTTGTTATTTCTCGCTTTGTTGTTGTTAATATGAATAAAATATGACCATTTATTAAGGGCATGCACTTTGTCTGACTTGGCGGCATTCAGAGCGTATAAAAATCTCCCTACACCCGCCCTGGCAAATGGCATGCTTTGGAAATTGTCTTGTATACACTACACTAAATGAGCATACAGAAGATGTGATTAATTATGCTACATATAGAACTGAATTTGACAGGCAAATAAGTTGGGTTGAGAATTGAAATATTCTTATTTAAAAATATTTATAAATTAGGAATCAGACGGACAAAGAAAATTTCAGATAGATTTCTCTACTCTAATTTATATAAAAAATAAATCAATGCTTAATCTTTGACTTTCTCCAAGCCTCAACTAAAATAGTTAATTTTTAAACTTTTTCAAATTTTTATAAGAAAATTCAGAGTTCGTCAAGTCTCACACTCCCTTCCCTTCAATGAGTTCATTAGGCGTTTTGACATCATTTAAATTGTCTGCTGAATGCGCCCTCAAGCGCTTTTCAATACCCCTCAGCATATAAATTAAATTAACTGCCTGGACATAAAAATGGCTTTGACCTTGGGCCAAACTGTTCGAAAAGTTTTTCTGTTCTGCATTTTGTGATGTTTATGTAAATGTTAATGCCATGTGTCTGCCATAAGGAGTAGTCAAAATATCTTGTCATAATTATGTATCTTATGTATTTTATAGCTTTAATTAATTGGAATGTGTGTGTTAAAAACAACGATGACTTTAAGTATCTTCTGAATCGTCGGAAATATCCGTTATTGAGGGTATTTCGAAGAACTGTAAGAGCTCCATTTTCGATGTGATGGAGTCGCTCCTTGTGGGCGTTCTTCGACTAACCTTGTCATGGTCATCCTCAACATCGTCTTCGTCGTTTCCATCGAAAAACAATTCAAATTCATCTGTTTCTTTGCTCTGGTCGCTGTTGTTGTTGTTGTTCCTTAAGCTTGTATGCGTGCTGGAGGAGGTCGGCTTATACTGATCGGATGGCAATTCTTGAAAATGAAATTCGTTTATTTTGATCTCGGAATCCTCAGGTCGGAAACGTATATTACGCGCTTTCTTCAACTGTTTCGTGCACTTTGGCCCATCATCCTGCGATCCCTCTGTCACGCCTAAATTATGAAAGTTCTTCTGGCTATGCAAGTTTTTGAGTATTTCCGTCGAATCTTCGCAAAGAAGACGCCGATTTTTGATTGTATTTACCATAACTTCTCTATCGAATGCCGTTTTCATCTTCAAAATTTCCGTTTCGGAATCCGAATCGGAACCCAAGAGACCTTGATCTCCACTATTCGATGGCTGAACGATTGTCGTTGAAACACTCTCATCTGTTGAAAATGCAGTTTCTGCTTCTTCCTCGCTGACTTGTACTACCAACTGATTATGGCTTTCATCTGTGTTATATTTCGCTTCTTTCTTGGTTAACTTTTTGTCGGCGTCCATAAGTCAAGTTTTGTGTGTATTTTGTATGTGTATGTAGGCTATCAAACTAGAACTAATATCTCAAAATTTGATTGAGAGTCTAGTGCCAACTAGAAATTAATATTAATTTGAATATATTTTCGAATATCTTTGACCTGGGAGTAGATTCGATTGCAAGTGCTTTTAATGAGTTGAATATTGTTTTGGTATTACTCTGTGATATCTCATATTTTCTATGAACAATTTCGAGGAATTTCCCACTTGAATAAACTAATTCACATAATTTTCGCACAATTCGAAATTCATTCAACACTCAGCGAAAGCGATTACATATGCCAATTTTAAGCATGATACCATGCATTCCGCTTCCAAAAAAAATATGAAAATTGAAAATTGAAAAGAAAAGAAAATGCATTAAGACAGCTGGGCAAAAGGCCGCAAGCCGATTTCACACTCCGAAAATCGTGTGTGAAAACTGTGGAAATTTTCAAAAAGATAAACACAGCACAGAAGAGCTGATATTACGTATACGTTGATTGGACGAGAAGAAGAAGAAGGAGACGAAGCAGAGGCAATGCTAATAACTTAACCTAGCAGAAGAAGCAGTTGTTGAAGAAGAGGAAGCAGCTTGTAAGAATTTACTTAGAGGCGCGCGTCTATTTTCACAAGATGTGTGAAAAATTATTGAAATTGATTTTTCCCAAGTTATTTTTTTTGTTTCTGATGATTTTTCTGATCTAAATTTAAAACGTACGACTCATGCGAGATGGCGACGCTCAAAGTCGGAATAGTGAGAAATAAAATGAACACACACATACACAAACACACACATACACACACACTCACTTGCACACACACACCTGATGACCGCGCCCACGCCTTGGCCACAAAATCTCAGCAGCGTTTGCTCATGTAGACGACTCCGAATTCGGATATATTTTTGGAAAATTCTTGAACAGTGTGTATGTGTGTGTGCGTGCATTGGTCTGTGTGAGCAGTCGACTCTTGCTCTCGCGCTTTAAAAGCCGCATACGCCCTGTGGCCAGGCATCAGTGTAGGCTTGCAATAGCTTTGGTGAAGATCTTATCATTTACTCCCCTTTAAACAAAACAAAAACCACTCAAAATGTCTCTAGAACGTGCTGTTCGTGCCAAGGTGAAGAAAAGTGAAAATAAAATATTAAAAAAAAATTAAAATCATATGAATAATGTGAAAAAAATTGAAATTTTATAATTACAATTAAAAGTGTTGTGTGTAAAGTAAAATAATAATAATAATAATGCATTTGCTTTGTCAATTAGATTGCCGGCAAACGCAATCCCGAGATGGACAAAGAGGCCCAGGAGTGGATCGAGTCGATTCTGGGTGAGAAATTCCCCGCTGGTCAGGCATACGAGGATGTGCTGAAGGACGGCCAAGTGCTGTGCAATCTGATCAACAAACTGCAGCCCAACTCCGTGGCCAAGATCAACACGTCCGGCGGACAGTTCAAGTTCATGGAAAATTTGAACAACTTCCAGAAGGCACTGAAGGAATACGGCGTGCCCGACATTGACGTCTTCCAGACCGTCGATCTCTATGAGAAGAAGGACATTGCCAATGTGACCAACACCATTTTCGCTCTGGGCCGTGCCGTAAGTACACTAATGATTGAGTGACTGAGTGAATGACTGACTGACGCACAATTTTGTTGCAGTGCTACAAGCACGCTGACTTCAAGGGTCCCTTCCTGGGCCCCAAGCCCGCTGACGAGTGCAAGCGCGACTTCAGCGAGGAGCAGCTGAAGGCTGGCCAAACCATTGTTGGTCTCCAGGCTGGCTCCAACAAGGGCGCCACCCAGGCTGGTCAGAATCTCGGTGCTGGCCGCAAGATCTTGCTCGGCAAGTAAACCCCTAGGAACTGTCCTCTACTTTCTATCTGTGTCTTTCTATCTATGATTTCTTTGTTATAATTTTTACAACTATGTTTAATTGTTAAGTTTACGAAAATCAAAACATATTAAACCAACCAAAAACTATTCCTCACACACACACACAAAACCAAAAAAAAAAAAAGATATATGAAACACTCACACAAATGCACACATGCACAGCACAAAGGGCTTGTCTTTGCGATTTATATTAAGTATACTCCTAAGTTTATTTATACAAAAAAAAAAAAATGAAAAGAAATAAAGAGAAGATTATGTGGAGATAAAAAATGTAAATCGAAATCGAAATCGAATTTTAACCTTCAGCTACAAAGTGTGGCGTTTGTGTGGGTGTCTCTTTTTTTATTCATTCTATAAATCTAGCATATAAACGTATATCTGACATGCATATATATAATCTAAATATGGCTGGCTATAAGTAACATATAGATATACATCTGTGAGAACGTAAACAGCCCGTGAAGCGTGTTGAGGTCATTCTATATTATATATATAAAGTATATATCATCGTCTACATCCAAATATTCACATTTTATGGAAGTAGTTAAGACAAAGTCTTATGATTAATTCTACTAAATTGAATTAATATAAAAGCATTTTTTTGCTTTTCTTTTTTTGGCTAAGCAAGCCGTAAAATTTTTCTATAATATAATCTAGCTGCAGGTGTTATACGACATTCAAAATAATGTGCTCGAGACATATTCAGAATTTCACGCCCCCATTTAAATCCGTTGCACTTTTTGATTTATGCATACGAATTTGAATTTTTTTTTGAGGGTATTTAATTTTAGTCACGTTTCTTGTAACTTTTAAGGAAATTTTAAAGGAAATTTTGTACATATCAACAAGTTGAAAGCTGAAAGAGAGCAATTATTCGTGGAGTAATCGTTATGGATACTGGAAAAAATTTACTTGCTCACTGCTGACCCATCCCTAATAAATGCTTTCCACTTTTATTCGGATAGTAAGAGACGGAATGCATTTGAGCTCAATATTGCGCTTTCGACAGAGTTAAGTTAGTTGGGTGATTAGGCAAAAGAGGGCGTAGTTGTGTGGAGTTTTGCGTCGTTCTAAGCTGGAGCGCAAGCACAAAGAGAGAAATTAGTCAGCGTGCATATTGTGAGTTGATCGGTACTGCAGTAAATTTGATTGTTTAGAAAATAAATTTTATATCTATATTATATGTTGTTTTTGTTTGTGTTTTATTTTGTTTATCTTATTATTCAACTGTTCCTTGGATTTGAATTCGAGTAAAAATATTTTCGTTTGGCTATTAAAATCAGAAAAAAAATATGGCGGCGTACCTAAATGCAATCCACATAGTGTAAGTAGCTGAAGGAGTGAGAGAGAGAGAGAGCGGGAAGTTCAGTGGATTGAAGATAATTATGGTGGTAAGCGAGTTCTCTTACATTCTCACGTATGTATACCATAGAAATAAAATGTCGAAAGAGTATTTAAGTTTCGGCATGACTTATATACGATTTTTAGACTCACATTGTTGCGCTATGAGTACACGTTTATAATGCAAATGAAAAATATTCTTCATTAGGTTTTTGCTAATTGCTAGCCAGTCTTTGCTAAATATAAAATTCGTATAATACTTACTAAGTCAAATTTCCACAAATTCCAATGCCAAAAGTCTCTACAATATACAGCAAAAAAATATATAAATATGGCGATAATCAGATAAAAGCGCGTGCCAGCATTTGGCATTTTTGTTTACAATTCAATAATTTGCGCAATTGCTGCAACGAAAAATTGAGGGCGCAAATATATGCATTGATTGTATATATATTTCGTATTTATAATTATTATAAATTAAAAAAAAAAATGAAGAAAACAAAACATAAAGTATCAAACATGACACTGAAAATGAGCATATATATATTATGTTTGCTCATTAAAAGATTTGCTGTCATTTTCAATGACTGAACATATATATATATATCTAAATGTTAGACATGTAGGTCTCTGCTTGATATATAGGAAATAATAATTTTCCGTTTTATATATATATAAATATATATATATATATACACATTGTGATTTGAAATAAATTAATTTATGTCAACTTTGGCAATGTAGAGCGAAGTATATATATTTGTATATAATTACGTTGGTTTTAAATATAACTTTTTCTCAAATAAGCGACATTTATGAAGTGTAAATACTTACTGATCGGCTGTCATGACAACATAATATCAAAAAGATTCTATGTTTACGGTTCATTATATATATACACATTTATATTTGTTCGTGTTTATAAGCATATATGCTTGGTTTTCTTTTTGGGTATCAATTTGTTGTTAATCTTAAATGTATCGCGAGTCCAAGTCTGTAATTCGCTGTGTCGTCCTCCTAATGGTTTCTTTCAGCTCAGAGACGATAGCTTGCTTTTGTAATACCTTCTCCACAGTTTCATCATAGTCGAACATTAAAGCTGGCATGTCCATTAGCCCGCCCTTATAGCTGATATTTGAGTACTCTTTACGCAGCCAATTATGCTTCAACTTCAATTTTCTGATATTTTGCCGAACTGCGTCCCGATATATCAGCTTTTCAGTGAGAATTATGTTACAATTATCCAATTTGGCTTTCAGTGTCATGGCCTTCTCACGATTGTGCTGAATCTCATGCAATTCCGAATGATAGTTAAATCGCATCTTTCTTAGCTCGGCGTTACGTTCTGCAATGGTGTCAGCGTAAACTAACTATATCAAAAGCCATTTAATACAAACCTTCGATTTTTTTCACCAATGCTACTACTTTATTTTGCATGCTGATGAAGCTGTCCATGCTGATGTTGTGGTTGATTTTTTCCAATTTTTGAATTTTCTGCAAACCGAATAAGAATTTAATTGAAATTCAAGTATTAGAAGTCTCAACTGGCTAATAATAATACAAATAATTTATAATACTGAAGTCTCAACACAAATTGTATTCAGATTATGTTTGAATATTTGCGATACTTACGTCAGCAATGCGTGCCAGTGTGTGCTTCCTGGTGATAAGGAAGAGGCGCGCATCACTTATCTCACAACGTTTTTGGTTAATGTGTCGCAGTTCACGTTCGACGAAACACCTGAAGGAATCCGTTCTATTGGCAGTAAGAGTACGTAAGACAACCTTCTCGAAATGCTCTTCGCTGCACATGACAATGTTCATTACATAAGAGAGATCCATAGTTACACTGGACAAGAGAAAGGCACAGCGTTTTTTAGTCTGCGCTGCGACATTGATCCAGTAGTCTAAAACGCGAAGGGCTCTAACATATCTCTGATATTCCCTTAAATTAATGTGCGGTTCGAGAACTAATAATACTCTTCTGTTATGGCCGCGTTTGAAATATTCATACATTTTGCTATTTAAAAAATGATTGTGCTCTTGCTCTGCAATGAAGTTGTGATATGCTTGAATTAGAGCATTAATCAGTTTTTCGTTATCTAATGCTTGATAATGAGAACTTATTGTCTCTTTGGCTACCACGTGGTCGACCGTCTTACTAATTAATTCGTTGAGAAAATCTATTGTCATAATTTGCAGGATACTCCTGATAGGCGGTGACTTAGTCTCATGTTCCTCATCAGGTATAGCGGCGACTAAGCTTTTGAATGTAACAAAGCCAACTTCTTCCTCGACTCTTTTTTCTCCTAGTGGGATTAATTCTGGCCAGTCTAGTTCACCAGTGCTCAACAGCAGGAGAGAGCTATTGTCAGAGATACTGTCAGAGATATTGTCATTAAGCCCGACTGAAGCACTTTTAGTGATCTCCGGTGTCAGAGTGTTATAATCAGAGGTCGACTTATCCTCACCACTGCCAGGGTGGTCAAGGGCACTTACGAAACGTCCATCTGTTTCGGATATAGTTATCGGTATAGGGACTATCGGTTCATGTTCTTCAGATATATCCGATAATGATGGTAGTTGGAATGTCGATATTAAATTCATCTTTTCGTCGATTTGTTCTCCAATAATTGTCTCGACTTCTTCGAACTGCTTATAATCCTTATCGATGTCCTCATAGGCCAGTAGTTTTTCTATATCAAGATCGCTGCTATCCATGAATTCCGAATCTGTTTCCTCGGAATAGTTTTGGTTTAATAGCCGAAATGGTCTATTTAGCGGTGCATCGTCAAAATCACGATCTTCGTAATCCGAAAACGCTATATCATGACTTCTTGTAATTAATGGAGTTTTCGACTCCGAAATATCGTTTTCGTACGTAGCTTCCTCATGCTCGTCATTGAGCCTTGGTAAAGATTTCCTTTCGATAATTTCATCAGTGGCATTATAATCAATATCTTCATAATGAGCATTAGAATCGGGGAAAACTGCGGCCAAGGGGCCGATCGAAAATTTGTCAGAGTCCATGGAAAAACTGGATTTTTACACTTTTTTGGTTATTTTTTTATTTTAAATATTTTTTGTATGTATTTCTTATTTTAATTTTTTATTTTTTTATTTTATTTTTTTTGGGTTTAGTGTGTGTGTGTGTGTCTGTGTTGTGAATGACTAAATAATTCCTACTGCCATAAAAGGTAAGGTAAAATTTTAAATTCAGTTTACTTGTTTGTAAATTCAAACTCAAATCTTGCATAAACATATAAAGAGAATCATATTGTGTTGATCGATATTTTCGATCAAAGAGCGAATGGTCTCTGAAGAAAGCCTTCAGTTTCTAGTACAGAAGTTGAGTTGGCGCCATACAAATTTCTATTGCATACTTTAGGGCTAGGTGTGAAACGAATGGCTTGAGCTGGTTTAGGAAGACAACGACACTAAAGTTTATATTAATTATTTATTTGTGTGTATGTAGAGTAAATGAAAGGAAAATAATATAAATATGTATTTTTCGTTTTGTATACCAAGACAATGCTTTTTAAATGCATTGCGCTTCGAGCTCAACAAAACGTTGGGACATATGCTTTAGGGTCTGTTTTAGGTCATTAATAGCGATCCGCTTGGCCTCCACCTTTTCGACAGTCGCATCAAAATCGTGCATTAGAGATGGCATGTATAACAGTCCGCCCTGGTAGATGAGTTCAGACTGTTTTTTACGTAGGTCAGCATGCTCAGCTTTGCTGTTTCGGATCGTCTTGGACAGGACTTCCTCTTTGCTGTGCATCTCACATAAAATACATTTATAATCCAACAGTTTGGTGTTTAACATCAAACTCTTCTCATGAATGTGCTGGATCTGATGCAATCCTGCATGATATTTAAGACACATCTTCTTTAATTCAGCGTTACGCTCTGCAATGTTTGAAAAGTAAAAACAGGTGTAAAAACTGAAGTAGAGCCGTTGATATTATCAAGAGAATATAGTCCAACCTTCGATTTTTTTCCCTAATGCTACTACTTGATTTTGTATGTTGATGAAGTCGTCCATGCAGAGCTCTTCATTGATTCTTTCCAATTTTTTTATTCTCTGCAAAACGAATAAGATTGGAATATAATAAAATAAGGGTAATTTCAGGCAGATATATATGTATATACATATATATTTAGTAATGTTTCAACATAAATTGTATTCAAATTAATATTGAATATTTGCGATACTTACGTCAGCGATGCGTGCCAGTGTGTGCTTCCTGGTGATAAGGAAGAGGCGCGCATCACTTATCTCACAACGTGTCTGGTTAATGTGTCGCAGTTCACGTTCGACGAAACCCTTGAAGGAATCTGTTCTATTGGCAGTCAGAGTACGAAAGACAACCTTCTCTAAATGCTCTTCGCTGCACATGACAATGTTCATTATATAAGAGAGATCCATAGTTACACTGGCTAAGAGAGAGGCACTGCGTTTTTTAGTTTCCGCTGCGGCATTGAGCCGATGATCCAAAATATGAAGGGCGTCTAAATACTTTCTATAATGTTTTCTGTTCACTTCCGGGCTTAAGATTAAGAATTGTCTTACATTTTTCAGGCGCTTGTAATGTTCGCACATTTTGTTATTAACAAATTGATTAAACTCCCGCTCGAACGCGTATTTATTTTTTAGTTCTATTAGGTTTCGAATCAACTTATCCTTATCCATATTCATTTTCGACTTTTCCGTATTTTTATTAATCCATATTTCATTTATAACACTATTAAATAAGTCGTTAACGAAATCCTTTGTCATTTCTAGAATATACGGTGTTGTAGGTAATTTTTTCGCTGTCGACAATTCGGGTTTATCTGAAATATCATCTGCAGCTTCAAGCTGGGCTTTGAGAAACAAATCAATATTGTCCTGATCCTCCTGACTTAAATGAATGGACGTGATGTCCTTCACATTGCCCAAACTGAAACGGAAATCGTCGAAAACATCATAGCTTTCACCATCGCTCGAATCCACAGGTAAAACGGTTTCCGCATTCTGAGACGTCGATGTCGGGGATACCGAGGATATTGACGATGACGTCGAAGACTCCACGACACGGTCAGTGGGTTTTACAAATTTTCCATGAAAGCTTGTAACACGCTTGAGTTTGGAGTCGCGCATATGTTTGGACTCACGCGCGATCATGTGCTCCTCGCGTACATCCGATAGTGATGGCATTTTTATCATTTCGAGGATATTCCCTTTCATCTGTATGGTATCTTCTATTAATAACTGGTCATTAGCCTCACCATAGATTTCGTCTTCGTCATCCGAACTCTCCATAATATCCTCCATATCCCATGGAGGTATTTTTCGTCTACGTACCCCTGTTGAATCTATGGTCGTATTCATGGTACTTAGCATATCATCAGCACTTTGCTGTCTAACATTTATGAAGCTGTCTGAAGTAAAATTCACTTCAGTCGTCAAACTTTCTTGATTCTGTCCTTCATCCACATGGGTCTCAATAGACATGGGATCACTATCATCATCTTGGATATCGTTAACCGCAAGGATATTAATTAAGCTTGCTGTTGAGTTGGTCTGTGATATGGGATCCATGGCATAGATCGATATTTAATGCAACGTATCTTATTTACTTATTTTTTCTTTTAGTTTAACCGCTGTTCAATGCATAGTTTTTGCCCAAGCTTGTTTTTTATAAGTTTTTTTGTTTTTTTTTTTTTTTATTTTTTTTTGCTTGTAGTGTCAATTGGGTTTGTTGTGTAGATCGTTGGTGTTGTGAATGATTAAACAATCCAACATTCGATTACAAAACATTTTGTTTTCAAGGAAATTTAATAATAAAACAATATATGTTTGTTATTTATTAATAATTTCGTATATCTACATATATTTATTTCCAGATTAATTCTGCTACAAAACAGAATTATGTTGCGTATTATATTTAATAGATCGTGTTGTGCATGAAAATATATGAGTTAACAATATAGTACTTAATAATTTAGTACAGTACTAAGAAACTAGGCAAGCTATAAAAGAAAGTTCCTTCTTCATTCCCAAGTTTGTTCCTAAAGTTGCAAATGTTTATAGATATAAAAGAAGTTTTTTTTTGAGATGCTGACAACTTTGAATTGGTTGAATTGCCTTATTTAAAAGCTGATAGATGGCTTTGTAGAGTTATATTAATTATTCTATTAGCAGGAAATTTTTTAAATTTGTTATCAAAATAATGCTTCAGTTCGTCAAGCATAACGATAAAGTCCATTTGTGGTTCAATTGAGGAATTATCACGTTTGAAGTGAGGATAATCTACAAGCTTTGGTCGAAACAGCATTAGATTCATAGAGAATTGGTTTTTGTCTTCTGCGTCTTCAAAAACTAGTATTGTTATGATTGTCAAATTGGCTGTTCCGGATTGAGTGTTGGCCGAAATCATGTTTCATATAGTTTTCATACTAAATAATATCTCTTAATATAGCTTTTCGCCAGCCAATATTTAAACATAATGCTTGCATATTTTGAGGCTTGAAATCAATTCAATGGAAATTTGGCTTATCTTAAATCAAGTGCGATGCTTTTCTTTTCTTGGGACGCCTAAGCAAATCTTTGCTGCTTTAAAGTTGATTGATGGCCTGGCAAACTTATGACATTGATAAATTTTTAATAAATAACACGAAAAAAGAAATCGAAACAGAAAGCGGGCAGAGAGTAAAGAAAATACAAATTCGGGCGTGGGATAAAAAAATTTGTCGCTGGGACAGCAGGTGCCAGCCGATTTGCATAAAATGTTGCAGTGCGCCCTGTCGTAATCCAAACAAAACGCAATTTGCATAAAAAATATACCTAAAATGCAATATTTTGTTGGCAATAACTGAAGGACAAGGCTTGTAGAGTAGAACAGCCAGTAGATGCTCTGCTCTAGCAGTGAGAGAGTTTTTATTCTTATTAATAATATAAGAGTAAAATATTATATATATATATATATATATATATATATATATTTACTGTATTTATATGTCTTGAATATAAACGTAATTTTTGAAAATCCGATATACAAATTTCAAATCAAAGTTCAGCTGACTAAATTTGATAATATTTGCAAATAGTTTGTATGCTAATTCTATATACCCCTTTACAGAGTTTCTCTTCAACCAGGGTACAAATAGCGAGGCGTAAATATAAAATTTGAATTCACTTAAATTATGCAGTAGCTCTTCTTGCTTCTTCGTCAATTCGCCTGGTTATGTTTCATTTGATTTCATGTCGTTTCCTTCCAACTTGGCTTTTTGATGTTGCCAAGGATGAAGGAGCGACATTCTATAGGGAATCCAAATTCAATCAGCCCTTTGCTATGAATCAACTTTCTGTATTTTCTTTTTTTTTATATAAGCAGCAACGACTTGAAGGCCGGTTAAATATTTGCTTTTAATTTCGCCTGAGGCAACACCTTTTGCACTTTACAGCTATCGCTCGTCTCTTATATTGTTTGGTGTCCAGTTTAATGTTGGCCAAAAAGGCGTCAGCTAAATGTGGCGCGCTTGACGGCCGAGACATCTTAAAGATACTATTTAAGGCTCGTCTTTTGGTTGAGTATGCGGCTCACGTCTGGCATATCCCTTACTTTATTTGCTTGGCTTATCGATGACGCCGCTGCGGATTAAGCGCGGCATTTGCGTTTTAGTCCAGTTCATTGATATGCTTATCATTTGTCTGAGTTGAGTTGTTGACATAGTTATGAAACATATTGTTTTGCATTATTCATGCTTGAGTTTCATGATTTCGTATATTTTTTCGAGTCTCGCTCCGTCTCAGAAACTGCGCGTTCAGTTGGCTACGTTGATCTCTGCTGATCTGCCTTATCAATTCGATGGAGAAGCGGCTCAATTTGTATTTGTTATGCAAGTCAAGCTGAAAATTTGCACACAGACAGCATGCAGGGTCCGCAGCTAAATTGCGCATTCCGAAATATGAATAAGCTGGCATACCTATGCTGCCCTAGCCGACTACTAAATGCTCTACATTGTGACATTTTTCTCTTATAATTTATGTACTAATATAAAAGAATTATACTTGATAGAATTATATGAGCAAATTCAATTAGGTTTCGATACATTCTAAACATAACTAGTTTTATTTGTACAAGCTCTTAAGCTAAGATCTTTAGCTCTTCAAAACTAGATAAGATATTTGTAGTAAAATTCAAACATTCTTCACTGCTTGTTACCTATTTCGTCACAGATTCAGAGTACCCTTCCCATTGTAGGGCATCAATGTGATGCGCTTTTATGTGAAAGGCGTGTTGTGCAAGCAAAGCGAAGTCGCATTAGGCTGAAATTCCCATTATGGACGCTCTCGCTGCAGCGCTTGATGCTCGATTGCTAATCGATGTCGCTTTAATTGGACTTGGCATGCATTATCAACAGGGGCTGGCGTATCAGAATTCCACAATTGTGATAATAGGCTTTCATAAGAAACTGTGTGGACAGCAGCGCACTTCAGTCGAGCGAAATAAGGCATAGCGCGAGCAACACACAATAATAGAATAGGATTTATCAGCTAACCAGGATGCGTTCAGGGATGCTCATCACAATGTTGGCGGCGGGGCTGATGGTAAATGTGGCATTGGCTTTGCCCCTCAATCTGGACGAGATCCAGGAGACCGCTGAGACCGATGAGCAGCTGCTTAAGCTGCTCGGTGGTCAAAGCATGGAGGAGGCGGTTATCAGTGCAGAACAGGAGAAGCTGCGTATGCGACGCCAGCCTATTGAGGATCCTGATCGAGTGAATCATGTCGACTGCCACTCGCATTCGCATTCGCATCCCGATGAGCTGGCACATGAGCTGCACGGCCATAAGCATGGGTTGCGTGAGCGACGAGCAGCTGGCGACAATTCCAGTGGTTCATCGGAAGAAAAAAAACCAGAGCAAAAGGAAGAGAAAAAGGAAAAACATGTAGCTGGTGAGGATTCCGTTGGCTCATCGGAAGAAAAGGGCCAGGTACAAAAGGAAGAGAAAAAGCAGAAAGATGCTATTTCCCCGGAATTAAAGGTGAAACAGGCACATGTAGTTGGTGAGGATTCCAGTGGCTCATCGGAAGAAAAGGGCCATGGGCATGCGGCACCCGCAAAGCGTCGTCGTCGAGCAGCTAGTGAGGATTCCAGCGCGTCATCGGAAGAAAATAACCAGGGACAAGAGGAAGAAAAGAAGCAGAAAGATGTTATTGCTCTACCTGGTGAGGATTCAAGCGCTTCATCTGAAGAAGCGGCGCTGGGCAAAGAGAGGCCATTGGTCCCGGAGCAGCCAGAGCCCACGCTGCTGGAGAAGGATAGTAGCTCGTCAGAGGAGATCCCAAGACGTAAGAAGCGGCGAGCCCAGAAACCCATGTATAATAAGTCCTATTTTTACTAAATAAAAACCAAAACTAAAAATTTACCAAAATCTTGTTGATTCCTCTTATCGGTGCTTGGGAGCTGAGGTTACTAGCCACAGCAATTGTTATTTGTTGTTGTCGTTGTCACCTCTGGTTGTCTTTGATCAAGATATGTGGGCAGCAGCTAATACGCAGTCGCTGACTGAATTGTTCTCTGACTTTTACTTTCAAGTGACAGCTGCAACGGTTTGGCTCAATCTCTCTTCAAACAAGGGGCAAGTAAGACGGCTTCAATTCAAGTGCAAAAAGCTCTTAAAATATCTGTGCTCTACACATAATGTTTAAATACAGAATATTTAAAAATGGAAGTACAAATAGCTGACAAAAAGGTAAACAGAAATTGTATGGGCCTTGATTAATAAAAAAATAACAAAATATTTATCAAAATATTTAGATATTTAGTATGGCACGCTTATAGTTATGTTAACAGAAATACGTAGATTTTCCAATGAAAAATTTTGTTTATTTTTAGTTTATAGAAAATAGAAGCTATATTTTTTTATAGCCATTGAAATCGTAACTAAAAAATATATTTGTATATTGAATATTTTTTTTATGATGATGATGATTTATATATAAATATTAATTATAAACACGCGATAATTATAATTGGTTAAATGGCGAGTTTTGCAAGTTCAACAAAAAGAATTCTCTGAATTTTCAATAATTATAAATTATTTTGATTCGAATTTACTGACATCTTGACATTAAGCAGATAAGCGGCGCACTTATAAACAAAACGTAATCGGCGGTAAACAACGTAAGTAAACAACAACGAAACATATATTTCAAGCTAATGAGAAATTGTGTACCTTTTCCCACAAATATTTCAAATCAAATCAAATTTGTACAAGAAGCGAAACAGTGCGATAAAACTGGGAAAACTGCACGAAAAACTAAGAGAAGGAAAACGCAACAGCAAAAAATAGAAGTGGGGAAAACTTTTCATGGACCTATCCCAATGCCCAGAACAGAAAGCAGCAAACAGAAATATCAAGAAAACGTGCTAGAATTGTGTGCAAACGGTCAACGACTGCAATATACCCGATAAATGTGATACATGCGTATAAATCTATATCTATATATAGCTCCAGATATTTGCCTAAAGTTCGGTTATTCAACTTAACTTTACACTGAAGTTCTTAAGGGCCAAAGAAACTATGTTTACAGTATATATATATACTCCCTAGTATCTATCTATAAGTCTTTATTAAAATCCAATATACACCACTTGGGGTTAAGGTGTAATGAAAGCAGCAACTGTCGCCGTGCGGCTAATATAAAAAAGCGAATGCACTACAAAAGGCAAACTTCTCGAAATTATTTTAGCGCTTTGCCTTTTGGTTTTTAGTTGCCCGAGTCGTGTGCAATCGTGCGGAAGCCAAAGAAAACTGTGGAAAACCCAAGAAGAAGAGGGAAAAAAGCCAAGCAAACACTCATTAAGTTCAGCGCTTCAAAAAAAAATAAAATAAAATAAAAAAAAAATTAAAAAGGCGTTATAATTAAAACGTATTAAAATTCCGGAGGAAATTGGCTAAGCCATAAATCTGCACTTACGAAAAGCACGAGGAAATAGTGAACATTTTTAGTCCAATTGCTGCATTGTGCAATGCGTGACAGTCTGATTATATAAGAGGGGCAAATGAGAAGTTTGTATTAGAGGAAACTCAATTGACAGTATTTTCGCACAGTCATCGTCAAAAGGAAAGCCCAAAAAAAGCCGGCAAAAAAAGAAAAAATTTTTTTGCACGGGTAAATTTTGTGAATTTTGACAGGCGCAGCCAAAAAAAAAACAGCGGAAAAGCCAATTGAAATTGAAAGAAAAACTATTGCAACAAAGTATAAAAAAAGAATAGACAAAAAGAGAGAGAGATAACAAGACACAGATAGGGAGGAGGCAGATTAAGAGCGAGCGAGCGCAAAGATTTATAAATAAAACGAGCAGCCACGCACAAAAAGAGCAGCAATAAAAAGAGCAAGAGAAACAGTGTGTGAGAGAGTGAGAGTGAGAGAGAGATAGGGAGTGAAACGAAACATAAACAAACAAAGGGAATAGCAAACGCAGCCACAACAACAACAACAGCAAGAACAGCATCACGATGCCCGAGCCCTTGGGCATGCTGTGGTCCATGCCAGAGACAAAGAAGAAGGCGCCCATTATCAAGGTATCCTGCGGCATCGGCGACACGGACGGCTTTCCCGCTTTCGATGTCGAATCGGATGCCTACGACTCGAAGGATGATGAGAAGTGGGGTTTTCTGATAACCGGTGGCGCCGAATTTCATATGCCCTTAACTGTCTTTCAGGTAAGCGTCCCCAGCACATCCTTTGAGAACCTGCACAACTGTCGACCCCATTCCATATTCGATTTCGTTATTCCAACTTCCAATTTCCGCTCAAAGCTTTTGTCTGCCAATGCGACAGCTGCAATTTTTATATCGTCATTGCGCGTTTCATTTTGGTCGCTGGCCAAAAGCGTTTCACGAAAGTGGAGCGGCAGTGGCTAGAAGATGCCCTGTAAACAGTTCGTATTTTTTCTATAAAAAGAGATTTGAAATATTTATGATAAGCAATGAGACACAGTCAGCTTTGATAAGCTTCGCTTAGAACATAAACTGATAATCGATTATTATTAATTTGTATTAACAATATCGATTAACACGATATGCGAAGACAATGAATAGAGTCAAGAATCTTTACTCTATGGCTGAACTCTATCTATCACATATATCCCCTTTTTACATTGCCTTCCAGAGTATGAAAAACAAACGCATGCAACATTTGTCGTATGTTTTCGAGTTATTCGGCTATGACGAAATCAACGCAGCCAGCGAAATAAATATTTTACTTTGCTCCGGCTCGTGCGATGGGGCGTATGAGCGACAATTGCCGTGTGGCGCTGAAAAACAAAGGCGGCTAGCAAGCGCTTTTGCCGTAGTTCGTTCTCATTTCGATTGCTTTTATTCTTGAGCAAAAGGGAATGCACAAAAATTTGGGTTAGCAAGTATTTTCTATGTAGTATTGCCTTCTGTTTTGACGTCTGGCTATGGCTTTTCCGTTTAGCAGCAGAAATATAAATTGTTATTTTTTCTATGCCGCTGCCCCTGCGCTACGCGAAGTGGGGCATCTACGAAATGCAGTGTAGGTTGTTGCTAGGTCTACGTAAAAACAAGTAAAATACATTGGGGTGCTCCTGCAGCTGAAATTAATATTTTAGAAACAAGAATAGTATATATGGGGTATTCCTACAGCTCTTATTATTATATAAATATATATTATAAATTAATAAATAAAATTTATATCATATTCAAGTTTTCGAAGCTTTCTGTTTGTTAAGAAAAAAAATATATGGGATATTGTTAACAAACTTAACTTACATTTAAGTTTTCTGATTTTAAACTTTATATGAAGCAAATATTATTTTTTTACTAAAAAAAATATATTGCTAGTTTTAAAAAATATACATATATTGAAAATGTACATATAGATAAATAAAATCAAGACAATATTTTAAAGGAAAGTATATTCAATATCACATATATATCTCGTAGATCATATATCTTCTACACCTCATGTTTCATATACGTTCTATATATCATCTAGTAAATTACTTACATATTTATCCAAGTGCTCGACAGTTTAGCTGTAGCGCACACTTGACGTCGACTATTTTAAAATACAAGCAAGAAGTATCTCATTGTGTTTGCTTTTTGGGAGCACGCTTACACATCTCTATGTAAACATAAATACATGAATATCTATAGCCAACTGAAGCTGTCTGTCATATATCATCTAAGCAGTATATAGAATAGTCTGTACTATATATATATATATATATTGTTCGACCTAAACTCGAACTACGCAACATTTGTGGATCAATTGCGCGTTGACTGTCGTTTCGGTCGGTACGTGAAAGCGAAAGTTGTTGCAGGGTATTAAATACTATATATAAATCATAATACATTTAAAAGGAAAGTAAGAGCCAGTGTGTCTGCTTGCAGGTAACGCCCAATGGTATAGCCGACAAATCGGGCATACGTCTGGGCGATATAATACTCGAGATTAACGAAGAGGACGCCACGCAGCTGACTTTGGCCCAGGCACACGAGCGCATCAACGCGACGCCCAAGAAAGTGCAGCTCATCATGCGCAAGTAGGTTGCCCCCAATTATACAAATATGTATATATATTTATACATATATCTATATCTTTTGCTTATGTAATATGCACAGCATGGATGAGGATGACCCGACAGGCATGTTTGAGGCCGGCGAGGAGAAGTCGATTGTGATGCGCGTGCCCAAGCCAATGCCACCGCCAAAGGGTAAGTCGCCGAGCACAACTAGAGCATGTCCTTGTCCATTTACCCTTTACCGTTCCACAATCCAATTCCCTTTGCCCGGCTTGCCTGCGTGTTGCATCGTGTGCTGATGGACTTTTGGTTGTTTTTCTTTTCGTAGACTTCACCCCGACCCCATTGCTTGGCTCGCGTTGCTGGCATCCCATTATGTGGCAAGATCCGCCCGAGCCGCCCAAGCCAAAGAAAAAGAAAACCAAAACCCAGCTAGATGATGAGGGCAACGAGTTGATCATTGAATTGAGCGAGGACGAGTCCTCAGACGAGGAGGAACAGGTGATTGAATCAATTGACATATCCAATGCAATTAACACCTGTTCTCTCTCTCTCTCTTTCCCACTCTCGTTTGTGCCCCGCGTGCAGGAGCTGCCGCATCATCGCATTATACGGAATATTAAACGTTTCTTTGCGGAGGTCGGCGATAATCAGGAGCTGCGCAGCAGCACCATAGAAAACATGCTAATGGCTCTGCCCACTGCATCCAAGTCCAAGTGAAGACGCACAACCAAAACCCAGCCACAGCCCCCAGCCATGCCCCCAACTAACTCGCCGCTGTATTGTCTTCTCGCTTTCAATACGTGTACATAAAACTTAAGCTGTGTATTAGTCTCTGCATCTGTATGTGTGTTCTGTCTGTGTGCGTGTGTAAATGTAATTTCAATAAAAATGAAGGAATCATAAACCATACATACATGTATATATATATATAGCTACGTCTGTAGCATCGCTTGCTTCTCGCTCCGGTCGCGTGCTGCCCAGTTCCATTGAGATGCGTCTGCTGGAAATGCAGCGCAAACTCTCCGCCATAGCTGAGATACCCAGAATACTTACCTCGACGCTGGAGACTGTCTCACAGTCCTTTGGCAGCCTACAGGACGAGGAGCTGTCCTGCATGCAGCGTAAATGCTCCTACGACGAGGATGCGCTCGACTATGAGCTGGCCAGTGAGGATAACGCTGACACAGAGGAGGAGGTGGAGGAAGAAGATGATCTGGTGCAGGTGCCAGACGATGCTGATGACGACGGTGAAGAGCAGCTGTTGCAACAATGTGCAGCCAAGCAGCTAAAAGATTTGACGCCGGAATCCGATTATGCATCGGAAGTCAATTACACGGCAAATGAGCTGAATGATGAGCTAGCCGTGGAGCTGGATGAAGCTCAAGATGAGGATGAATCAGCTCTCAAAACAGTCTACTATATGAAACTGCCAGCTAGCTACAGTCACGATGATGAGCATGAGGAGAAGGAGGTGGATGGGGATGACGAAGACGATGACGATGACAGCGATTTCCTGAGCACCACTTACACCTGGAATCTGCGAAATGTGCCCAAGCTGCGCGTTAGCGATGCTGAAAGCCCGCAGCTGGAGACGCCTGACAATGCGGCTGACACATCAAAGGTGCGCCCACCAACGCCTACGCCAGCGCCCACACCCTCAGCCACGTCCATGCTGGAGGCCACAATGACATCGCCAACCGAGTCGCAAAAGGTAAAGGCAATCAATGCGGCGTCTCATTAGGCAACACCTCACACACACCTCACACATGACATTGTTAACTGTTTTCTTTCTGTTGCAGCTGCTCTTCAAGCTGGATAACCTGGAGCGCAGTTGGCCCTGGGCGGATCGTGAAAAAATCATTTACAAGTGAGTGAGAGCTGACAATTTAGAGTTTGATTTGAGTTAATGAGAGCTTATGGGCTTTGCTTTGAGATACATTTATTCATATATATATATATATATATATATATAAATATATATATATACATATATAGTAGCTTAACACATTCATAAATTGGTTTGATTTTGAATTTTTGAATTTGTTTGATTTGCAAATGTGCCAAGTGCTCGCTGGCTGTTTACTTATTTATTTATTTGTTTGGCAGGCAATCAACTTGTCATCTGGCGTCACGCAAGCCACTGGGCATTGTGGGCCAGCGCGTGCAGTTGCTGGCCAAGCAGGAGCTGCAGCTCAAGGATAAGACGCAGTAGGCCAAAAACGCATTGACTTCTAACTGCGGCTGCAGCTGGCAGGCAGCCAACTTTTAATTGAGTTCATTATGCAAATGCGTCAGCTGCAAAAGACAACTTTTCACAGCCGTCACACGCGGCGTATGCGCAATTTCTACATTTCAACTACGCTAAAGACACTGCCTGCTGAAGTAGTTTTATTAGATTTGTTTTAAATTAAATTCTGCTGTTTTAACATGTCCCAATTATCATGTAAAAGTTTTACATCGTTTGTTCCAAAAATACAACTTTGAATAGTCCATTTTTTATTAAAACTTATGTGAATTTTGTAAATTAGTTTTCTAAAAACAACAGTTTATATTAGAACTTTATTGAAAATAAACGTAATTATAAAATTAAACTCCGACGAATCTTTCTGCATTAAGCAATTAAAGCAATACAACCGCTGGGAGAAAATGTTATTCCCACTTGAACTCATGCGTATAATCGCAATTGCAAGCGAGCTCAATTATTCGAGTAAGTGTGACATTTTTTTCTAGTTCACTGCCGATTGCCCATCACTAATTAATGCTTTTGATCCCATTTATCTTGGTTTAAGTATTTAGCCGATAGAGTGCGCTGTGGATGGTGAGCGCGAAAAAACTGTGTAGGCTTTCGTGTTGTTTTATTGGTTTGAAAACCGGCTAAGTGTGGGCGCAAGCGTAAGGCAATTTAGTCAGTGCGCGTCTCTCCTGGCGATCGGTTATTGAAACTGCGCGTATGCATAAAATCGTTTGCTTGTTAAAGAAAGTCAATTAAATTTAGTTTAACTTACTCAGTTAGTGAAGTGTGTGTTTCTATACTGCTTTATAAAAAAGTTTCAATAAAATTCCATATTTCAATGCGACTAAAAGCATGAGTTAAATAGTTTATTTGGTTATTGCGTTGTTCAGAGTTTTTTTGCTGCAATGAAAAAATTTGGCGCGTACCTAAATGCAATCCACATCCAGTGAGAGAAGAAAAGAGAAAGAGCGAGAACGCGGAAGAGCGTCACTCAGGTATGTAGAAATATATATGTTTGTCCACTATTTAAGTCCACACTGGAATGCTGTTCGGCATTTATATACATTAGAGTACTGATGGTATTATAATTTTATTATGTCATGTGTAACGCATAAAAGCATATTTCTGTATGCATGTGTATGAAAATTCTCATGGGAGCTCGTACTTGTGCAGCGAAAAATCTTCAAACTATTTATTGCTGAAAATTCTCTGGCATACATTTTATTTAACATCTATTTTTAACGAGACAACTTTTTCAATGTGTGTGTGTGTGTTCTTGTTTTTGTAAAAGTGCTGCAAGTAGTTGGCTGACTGTCCGTTTGAATCGCTCTTGAGTTGTGGGTCTAAAAGGTGTCCAGTTCAGGTTGCCTTAAGTGCTCGCACAAGTCCTGTAAATCCTTTGTGCTGTTGCGCTTGAGTATCTCAAAGCAAAGCCTTTTTATATTCTTGTTGCTAGCTGCAGATGCATTCGCCGTAGCTGCTTGGGGCCTTAAGGCTTGGCATGCACTTAACTTAACACTCGACTCGACCCGACACACACATACGAGCATGCTCTTGTACATATACATACGCACACACAGACACTCAATTAAACAGCTCATTTAAAATTTGTAGCACGTTTGATGAGCAAAGTTTTGACTTGGCTGGCATTTGAGTTACACGCTGTACAAACTGTGCGGGCGCGAAATATGAAAAGCCACTCGAGAGTGTGTGTACATCAGCCTTACACATACACACACTTGTACACTCGCACACTCGTACAATCTCTCTCAATTTAAAGCGCAATAAAATGACACTTAGCACGTTGTTTTACATGCATAAAACATGGGGCCAGCAGCTGTTGGTTGCATTTGATGTGCAGCAAATGCGGCGTGTGGCGTGCGGCATGCGGCATGCGGCATGTGACACGCCATGGCAACCTGCCGCACAATCATCAGCTACATCATTAAAGGGCCATCAAAACAACGCGGCTGCAAAAATGCCAACGCGGCCAAGTGTACACAGAAGTCAACTTCTGTACAAATCAGTTTCAATAACTGTCAAACACAACGCTGACAAGCCACTTCTCATTGTTGTTGCTGTTCTTGTTGGTTACCGTTGCGTTGTCGACCAAATTAGCGCAGGAATAGACAAAGGACTCGGCAATGGAATTTATCACGCTATACAATTACAATTTCTGTCTAAAAAGACCAACGTCCTGTCGAGTGCCCAAGTGCTTCAGTCCATGAATAGTAGGAGGCGGCGGCGGCGGGAGGAGTGGCCGTCATCATTGTGAGCCGGAAGGTTTATTTCATAAAATCTCAACAGCAGCGTAAAAGTTTGCTAATTAACTGATAATTTGTTAGCTGCTTAGTACTTAATATTACTTACCTGAGCAGCAGTGTTGCAAAAGGCGCAATTAGGCTTAATGTGCAGAAGCTTTAAAAAGAATTCGAAGTGCTGCCAAAGGACTTAGTACTTAAGGCGCTATAAAGGCCTTAACACTGTTGTGAAATGCTCAATAAAAATACATTCAATTAGATTTATGTTCCATTTTATATAGATATACATATATATATAAATATATATATATATGTTTCATATACACAGATTTCGAAGCATTCATCTATAGTAGTGAAAAGCGCTTAGGTTAAAAATTTTAGAAAGCTCAGCTTACCACATAAATATACATATATATACGTAGATATATAGATATAGCCGCATAGGCATGAATAGTTTAGTTGGGGACACATAACACTTAAGACAACAATGATATTTGATATCCACATAAATTCTTAATAATCATATAATAGTTGCAATTTAAATATATATATATATATATATTATTTAGATGTAGGTATGTAGGTTTGTATGTGTATGTATGTATGTATAAGTTATATGCTTTAAACTAAATGCTAGTTGCATTTAGTTTTTACAACACTGACGCCAACTTTTGTGCAGCATACTTTGGGGAGCAGTTCGACCAGGGATTGCTGCATTCTGAATTTCATTTTCACAGCAATATCTTAAATCTAGCAATAGCCAGTGTTGCAAAAGGTTGGATATTATGCTGAGATATATACGACAAACGCATTGGAACTTTAACTATATTATATTATACATATATAACGCTTATAAGGTTAGCTAGGTTAGCACATTGTTCCTTTTGCAACACTATTTTTACTTTATGCACACTCTTTTTTGTGAGTTTGCTGTGAAATTATAGTCCAGAATATGTCTACTCAGTTATATTTTGATTTATGACTTTGATACTGCTTCCAAAAAGTTGAAATTTAAATTGTTCTCTTCTTACTCTTGTCCGTTGTGATGGGCGGGCGATTATTTTTGTTCTTCTTTCGTAGGTGGGGTGCATTCCATTTTTGTTTGTTTGGTTTAACTTCATTTTTGGGCGGGTAGCTACTTAAAATTGGCTTAGACTATGAGAGGTTTTTGTAACAGAATTGTTTTTGTGACTTGGTTTTTAGTTTAAAGCGCCTCGTCGGCTATATTTTGTTGCCCATTGGCATCCACGCTAACAATGACAACACCTGTGGTAGCACCTGCAATCAAACTTGTGCCATTACGCTTTTCAGCTGCATTCGTTGTTGTGGTGGCAGTTGCTCCTGCTGCCGCTGTCGCTGTCGCTTCGGCAACATCTTCTGCTATTGTCGTCATCAGCTTTGGCTTGAGGGCCACCTCCACTTGCATATTGCCAGCTGCCGGCTGCAACTGCGTATTGCCCGCTGTTTCCTCCATAAGCGGCTGTCGCTGATGCGCATTATCCACGTTGGTACGCCGCAGGAAATGCAGTTTCTGACGCCAGCCATCGATAAGACCGGACGTGCTTCCACCGGCGCCTGTCAAGGCCATGCTTTGGCTGCGAGAACGTTGTTGTTGTAGACCATGTTGCTGTTGTTGTTGCTGCTGCTGCTGATGTTGTTGTTGTTGGAGTGCTGAGGAGGCGCGTCGCTTTGCAGATGACGATAGATCCTTTAGTCATACCTTCTCCTCGCCAGGCATTGGCGGACCGCAGCGTACGAACTACAATCAAAAGAACTGAGAATTTGCTATCATGGTGGTTGGCAGGTTGGAAAACGGTGCGATATTCTATGTAAAGTTGTCTGTATGTGAGTGTGTGTGTGTGTGTTTAATACATGCATTTAGCAACAAGAATTAGTGTAGGGCAATTGTCTGTGTTGGTGTGTCTCAGTTATTGCATTGATTAGCTTGCAGTATTCATACGCGCCATAGCCCCGTTTTATCTAGCCAAAAAAGAGAAAAGCGTTGTGAAGCTCATATGAAATCTTACCGAGACCTGAGTAGCTGTGTAGGAATTGGTACGCGGTCGACTACTAAAGTAGAAAGTGCGCCACTTGCGCTTCACTTGGGCAATCACCTCGCCATTGAAGAAGCAGAATAATGTTGCCACGCACAAGCCCTGCGAATACAAAATGAGTTTCAGTTGGTTCATGCAGTTGAAGTGTTAGATAAAATATTATTATTGCTCTTATAGCTATTGTCATTGTACTCGAGCCGAAACACAAACGCCGCTACTTAAGTCTAATGCAATTTGGTTTATATGCCAATTTCGGGTCCAGCTCAACAGTTGCCAATTCATTTTGCGACCAGACGCAGACACAGACGCAGCTGTAGTTGTAGCCGTTGCCGTAGCCGTAATCATAGTCTGCAAATGTGCCTGGAAATGTATCTGTGAATGTGCCTGAAAATGTATCTGTATCTGTATCTGTATCCTGTACCCTCTATCGTAGCTCTAGCTGAGCCTGCAAATATTTCTGTATCTTTATCTGTGTTGCGTATCAGTCAATTGTAGCCGTTGTTGTTTATCATTTGTCAGGCAGATTGCGTATGGCTGCATGGCAGTAGGTGTATGTGTGCGTGTAGGGGTGTGTCTACCTCTGACTTTAATGCATATAGTTGCCTACGTGCAGGCTCCTTTGTCAGGATTGCTTCATTCACACATTGCTTGCATATAAATGAAATTGGCAGACGGCAAAAAGGCTTCATTTGATTGGCAATGCACACGTCCTGAACAGTTCCATAACTCAATTACATTCCCACACACACGCATATGTACACATTCTTTGGCGTCGTACTAAATATCGTGACAATTTTCTATTCCTTGATTGTTTTACTTAGTTGGTTGTATAAGTTTGGGACGCATTTGATAAGCTGATTAGTGAGGACAATTCAATTTGTCTCCTCTCGGCTTCTGAGTAGTTTAAGTTGAATTCGATTAGTTTATTTTACGACTCTTAGTGGGATAATATGTGACTAAAGAATAACTAACAATTCAATTATCTAGAAGAGATGTAGTGCGGAGAGCCATCAGCAAAATCAAAAAGAACATGATGGATCCATAGGGGACTCAGCCTCAATGAGCAGTCCTCAAAAAAATCCATTTAGCAGACTACAGACTAAAGTCACAGCTTTTCTGTCTATTTGAGTCCCAATAGACGGGAATTTAGGGCAGCTGTAAAATTTCTTCCTTCGTTAAGCAAGTGCACACTGTTACCCAGTCGGGTCAGCTATAGATGTACTTCGTCGACAAAAAGCATAACTTTTAGTCCAGAAGCTTGCAAGGGTATTTTGGATTCTAAGCAGAGCACTTTAGTAGCTGCCTTTACACTATGTTTCAGAACTAGCCACAGGGAAATTGCGAGTCGACTCGAATGCTCATTTTGCTTTGGCTTTTGTGGTTGCTCCGCATTTATAAAGATTTTCTACGGGTTTTTGCCTATTCTCTTTTATCCCTCCGGCTTTGCCCGTAATAAGTCCCACAGCTGGGCTCACTTTATGTAGGTTGAATATTATTTAGCTAGTTATTATGCAAACTGATGTTTGCCATTACTCAGCAAGAGAAGGAGGAGAGTGAGTGAGAAAGAGAAAGAACAAAAAGAAAGAGAGACCAAGAGAGAGAGAGAGCACATGCAGGCAGAAGCAACCTTTTTGATAGCTACCTTGTGAATACTCTGTAGTATTTGACTCTGATTTCAGCATGACATGCAGCTCTTGGAGCTGTTTGCAGACGATGATTTGCTAATTACTTGAGTAGCCAGAAACTGCAAGCAGTTTGCAAAACTAATTAGCAAAGTAGACAGCCAAAAAGTTGGGCTATAAATGTGCTTTCGCTTATGGTCCGGTCCACATTAAGAGTATGTGACTTTTGCTGCCAAGTTTTCAATTCAATTAATATGAAAACAACAACAGCTGCTGCAGTTGCTGTAGATGGCGGGGGTCAAAGATGGAGTTCGCCTAGACGCTGCTGCTCGTCTATATGTTCTATACACGGCCATATGAGCTTCGTGGAAAATATTTTTTAATATTTATTGCAAATTCCAGCTATGGCATTTGATGAATAAAAATCTTGCCTTGCAATATAAAATAAATTAAATACTTTTCTTTTTTTTCCTTGTAAAGAAAGTTGGTTTTAATTGCTCCGCGCGCTTAGATAAAGTATGAGTATTTATTAGATTGCGCTTCTCATAAAATTCATTCGCCTTTTTCTTTGCTCTGTGGACCAAGAAAAGAGCAAGCAAGGCTAATGTTTAATTTATGATTATTACTTTAGACAAAGCTATAGACAATATTATACAATTTAATATTATAGCTGTTTCAATAATTAAAACGTAATAAACCTTTTAAAAGTCTGCTTCATGCATACAAAAACGTAACTTCAGCGCTATTTGGAATTTATCAATTTAATTTTAATATTCTCTCTTAAATTTTAATGTTAAAATTGAATTGTTGACACTCGAATGAACTATGTGCTTATATTTCTGCTTTAGCTATGGCGACGTTTAGTTGTTAACAAAACATAAATAAAAGGCCAAAAGTATGAAAAATTTCATTGCCATTTTAGTTTCAGCTGGCCATTGTGCGGTAGATGAAATCATCTCGCATATAAACTTAGTATTATGTGGACTCTGGCGCTTAAAAGTTGTACCGAATCTTTTACGAGAGTCGTGCGCATTGCAGCTGGCACAATAAATCCGAAATTATATCTGCGCCAAAGTAAAAAGCGCCTCTTGATGAAAACTTTGCAATTTGCGGAGCAGCAAGCAACCAAAACAAATAATATAATAAAAAGTTGCTGCTTACTGACTTTAAAAACATTTGAGCAAAAGTATTTTGCTTTTGCATTTGTCACTCAACGATGCCTTTTTCTTTTTGGGGTAACCAACGAGTGAAGTAAAGTCGCAGATAAACAGCGCATTGTGTTTTATTCGAGTACCCTTGTGGGTTGAGTAATTTGAAATTGGGTAGCTTGATCTTGAGAAAACTCATATGCATTATATAAGAGCAGGATTTGACCTCCATTCCTACTTAATAATAAAACTCCAAATACTTATGATTATGTCATAAGTCTCCTTAAAGCTCAGAAATCTCTAGTAAAATTATGTTTACAATTTATTTTTGATCTCTTAAATAAATAAAATACCGTCAAAAGTTAGGCAGGAAGCAAATGTCTGTAGTTGAGTGTCTCCCCGATTTATTTTTACTTGTTTTGCTGCATTGCCAGCTAAAAGTCTTGTAACTGCAGTTCAACTGCAGCGTGTACCACGCCCTCAGGCAGGCCACAAGACATGAGAATTTGCTTTTTTCTTATTTTCTTTTTTATAACTGTATACAGCAAACCACAGACATTGAAGCTTAAATTGTTGTTGTTTTTGTTCTTGTTACTTCCGTTGAAACTAAAAGAGCAGCTAAAAATAAGTTGAAGCTCGATTTGGTTTTATGTGCCCCAACGTTTCTTATTTTTGCATAGATTTAACTTTTATTTTAGAAAACCAGAAAAAAATTTGTGGTTTACTTGCTCTTGGGTTCCTCAACAACTAAGCTTGACTTGTTCAATTGGGGTTTCACACCTACATCGTTTATGTTATCTCTTAACACTTAAAGTTGGACTTAACTGAGATTCTTTCCATTTAAAACAGCCTTTTCATTGCTTTTCCTATCAATTGCTTTCATTTTTCACAATTCTGAGCGTTGATTAATCACATTCGAAATGAATATGCTTGACAATATCGAACATAATATATCAAAATCAAATTTTTCTGGTTAGCATGTTTGTTTATTGGTTTCAGCTGCTTGCCTTGGCCTCTTGTAAGTCCCTCGGCTGAGGCGCTCAGATTTGCCAGCTTTACGGGGGTGAATATTTTCCAAGCATGTGCCTGGCATTTTAATAATTTAGCCCCCAGCGTTACGGCAACGATATGGTTTATGATTGGTAGGAAATTTGTAATAAACAAGCTCTGACGTGGACTTTGGCTTATTTACATAAATTATGGCAAATATCTGTTGGTAAAATCGACAAATTTTTAGCCAATTAAATAAGCATATTTTCTGCCCTGCCCTTTTCTCTTCGCAAACCACTCGCAAGCGGAAATTCCAAGCGCGTGGATTTAAGTTTAAATCGAAGCAGCTGAGTAAGAAATTTACATACACTAACAGCATAAAAGTATTCAACCTGTGCGGGGGTCATAAAACAATATTAAAAGCTGGATGGCAAGGCGATGCAGCTGCAGAGTCTGATGGACTATCAATTACCCTGTGCCCAAGCTTAAGAATAAAAAAATAAATTAAAAGTATTTAGACTATATTTTTAAAAGTGAAAAAGGGGCGATTTATAAGTAGAGCAAGTGTAGAAAGCATAGCAAAATTGAAGGAAGAAGGATGTCAATTATACTCTATATATATCTTCAAAAGTATTTAGATTTGTTAATAGTCTTCAGTTTCTACAAATGTGAGTGAGGATCCTTTCATTCAAACTACTCTTAGAATTCAATCTCACTGTAAACTATTTCCCAATTCCTACTTTATGCGAGGTATTCACAAATGGCAATGGCAAAAAGAGAAGAAGAAGCGGCAGCAGAAGCAGAAAGCATTACTTACTTGAAATGAGGCCGTAAACGCCGAGATGACTTGGTATGTATACTCCCAGGGATGCTCTTGGCCAGGACGAAACGGCGTTAACATATACTGGAGGCCAAGTAGAGGCACCAGCAGCAGTGTAGCCCTGCAAAGAACACAATGGGAAAGAAAGAGAGAGTTAGATAGGGAGAGAGAAGATAAGAGTGAGAGAGAGAGTTGGGTAGGATTGTAATAATACTTAGACTTATGTATAATTCGTTTGTCGACGAGCGTATTAAAATGCAAGTCAACGCGGCGTATGCGTAATTTAAAATGTAAAATGAAGCAAAATAAAAAAACTTTCGAACGTAGCGCGGCGCAAAAGCAAAAAATGAAAGGAAAAATCTGCGCTGAAGAAAAACAAGTTTATTACGCATACGCCCTGCAGGCCTGTCGTCAGCATTTTTTTCTGTGTCAGCCAAATTACATATTATTATTATTGAATTGAAGTCTTTTACGTTTGGGACTTGACTTTGTTTTTGTTGGCCCCGTTTTTGCGCTCCAAAAAACTTACCGAAATGCTTGAAGTACGGTTCGTGAGGGTCCGCAGCCGCCCTGCAGGCTGGCCGGGGCATTTAGCTTGAGCAGGACGACGCGCACAATGTTGCAAAGGAACAGTAAATTGAGAAAGATTGAAATGCAAACGGGAACTATCAGAATATAGTTGTAGTCAGTGTCCGTCATCCAGCAGCTAGACATAGAGGAAGGAAGAGATAGAGAGGAGTTAAGTCTGTGGGCGAATTGTTATCTAATGAATTGCAAACGAGCTGGTTTACAATTGATTTGATTTGAGTTTGCAAATCAGCTTGCATGTATGCGTGCACACAATCAATTTAGCAAGTCACATACACACACAGACAGACTGTTGCACACACATGTTGACATCATGTTGCTGCACTTACTGTAGATTCTCCTCCCGGCTACCAGTGAGTCCGCGTGCCAGTCCATAGATGCAAATGACAATGGCCGGCGAACACCAGCCGAAGGCTATCAGCCATTTGACCAGCTTTTTCTCCGATATAAAAGCAGCGACCAGCACCGTATGCAGGTAAAAGCCTTCGCACAGCATCCACGAATAGTTGGTCAGCAGAAAATAGTGCAGTATTATGTGCAAAGCCACACAGTAGCCCTGAAACGAAAAAAGTTCAAATTGGAAATTCAATTTCAGACCCTGGGCGTTGAGCTTCATTAAGTCTGCTTACCGGACTGAGCTGTACCAGCTCAGCGTTGGGCACCACAACCAGATACCAAATGAGCCACAGCGAACTGTTGACGGCAAATGAGCTGAACAGATTCATATGGAGCGTGATGCGAGCGCATTTAAGAGATCTGCAAACAAGGGATAAATAGTTAGTTGAAGGTAAAGACGGGGAACTAAAGTGAGATAAATGATCTCTTTGATATAAGTATGATCTTTGCGATCTGAGATGACATAAGATGCAAACGATGTAAATAAATTAAGGGTGTGAAAGAGGCTTAAGATAGGTATGCCTAGCAACACACAAATGAAATCTTTTTTATATTTACTTGATGATTATTTGTATGATTCCTGTAATATTATTTCTTGCTTCAGTTCATCTATATACTCTTTACTATATAACAGTCTCCCAAAGTGCATCTCTCTGTCGTCTAGTCTCGTAGCTCTTCCAAATATTATTACAAACAAGAATTCGTTTAATTTCCTTCTTTTGTACCCAAATATTGACATACATTTGGAAAAACACGTATTTGCATTTCACACGGCTCTCGTTTTGGAGAAGAGCAAAGTGTGGGTTAACCAATGGGGCATATCAGACGGTTGGGAGTGTGAACAGAGTTTATTTCAATGTCAGCGCTGAGCGCACATGCTTGGAGCTTGCATCTCTCATCTTTCAGCTCTCATCGCTGTCGTTTTCCGTTTCGCTGCGGCTGCATTTGTCGAATTTTGGCAGTTGGCCAAAGACCGTGCTGCATATTAATGAAATCTTGTTGGATCTGGCGAATTAATGCATGCCATGCAAATTGGATACAGCTCGTTGTATGCTCTGTCCACGTCTCGCAATATGTGACTGCAATGTCAGGCGTTTGCCTGACTCTCTAATGCAATAATATTGAAAACATTTCTTGCTTCCACAGCTAGATAAATTGTGCTGAGCTCGAAAAAGATTTGGTTGCCGGATTTAGCATTTTGATATGGTTTAAGGCAGCTTGCTGTCCAAGCCCTAACAGGATTACTGTCTGAACTCTATACGAGCTTAAGTGATTTTTGCATTTGAGTTAAGCTTGCTGCACAAATACGAATTTAAGTGAAAGTGCTATAATATATCTATTTTAAAATTCTGTTTGAATTTCTATAAAAAATTCTCTTAATTTGAGATTACCAAAGCTTTGTCAGCATTAAAGTTAACTTGGCTATTTAGTCACAGTTTTGTTTGCCCAAAATCCAATATAAATATTATTTAGTTAAAGTATTAAAAAAAATGTTTAAGGTGTGAAAAATAGTATTTTAATTATCAATTAAACTAATTAAAATTCGCTAAATATTTGTGTGTCTGCGTTTCATTTTCACGCTCAATTAATTTACGCTTTTGTTGTGCTTTCACATTAGTATAGTTAAGAGCATAGTTGAATGAAATTCCGGGCACATTTGGTGGCACGTTTTATTGGCCCTGTGCACATAATTTAAAACGCTTTTGCCAAAGTTTGGCTGAAATTGTTTCGCTTTCTCTGTTGCACCCGTTTCTTCTGCCAGTGTCTCTTTCTCTCTCTCTCTGATTGTCGGGTTGTCTGTCTTTTTGTCTGAGCTGATAATAAACAAGCCAAGAGCACTAATTGTGCTGCAGACAAGTGGAAATTAATCGATATCCTGTTTGAAGACGACACACAATTTAATACTCAGTTGACGTACGACACAGCAAGCAATGAAATAGATAGAGAAGGTAGAGAGACGAGATGAGCCGAGGGAGAGACAGTGCAAAAGTTAGCTGCTGATGTGGAGGCCTTGGTAAGAAAGCAAATATTTTCTCATTTCCGACGTCAAGTGTGGCGGATTAAATGGGCGCAAGAAAAGTGCAATGAACAGAGGCAGAAGCAGAGACAGAGATAGAGACAGAGATAGACACAGAGATAGAGACAGACCCACAAACACACATGCTCAGCTCTTTGGTAGTTTATTAGAGCAGCGTTTGGCTCATCTTTGTTTAACAATAAAATTTGGCGCCAAGCGCCAGGGCAAGACTATAACAACAACTGGCAAATGTGGCTCATTAGCCTTAAGTGGGTTTCTACGACACTTCCAGCACGAGTGTAGCTAAAATTAGAGACTTACTTGAAGTAGCTCAAGATGGCCAACGATAGCAATATGGCCAGCAGCGAGATGCTGTAGCCCACCTCATAGATCAAGTTCACATTGTGGTTGCGCTGCAAATGACGGAAAGTAAATTAAATTTAATCAAAAAATTTTCAATTTCAATTTCAATGCTGGCATAAACTTACCGCCAAATCGTCCAGATTCACGCAGGTGGTATAATTTGACCAGGATCTGTTGGTCAAAGGATGCTTGAACCATTCGCCATCATCGCCGCACTCCTTGTGTGCATATCCTGCCAATTTAAACGGGTTTATCTAATATTATTTCAGCCTCATAATTAGCTCTCGACTAAATAAACTAATTAAAAATAATTGCCCCATACAGAATGCATTCACTTAGCGCTTATTTCTAATTATATTTTCATTAGTTTTCCATTTATTTTACATTTTGCACTTTCAGACTGCAACTAAAATGCAGATTGCGTATACGACATGTAAACAGTTTAACCGCAGCTAATTGATTGCGTATAAAATTGCTATTGGCAGTGATATATACCATGATATATTTATAGCTTTAACGCATTTTAAATGAAATAATGATGGAATGGCATGTATTACTTACTTAGGTATATTTTAGCGGCGAGCGTGACTTTTTCTTGACTTTTCTACTACCGAAACTTTTGTAAATCATTCAATTACTCGAGCAGCTGTTGCAGCTTAAGTAATTGCAATAATAACAATAAATTTTAATCATAATAACAACATTAGCCTAACTAAGCAATTGACTACAGTTAAGAAATTTCAATTGATCCTATAAATGGCTTCCGTAAAAGTTTTTAAGTGCCCTCAAGCATGTAGAATGCCTTGCCTTGGCTGCGCTGAGTTATGCAATTTTCATGCTATTGTTAAATTGCTATCGAACTTGTTGAAAGAAATCGCTTGCCAGACACACGTACCCACACAGAGACTTGCCGCAGCCGTAACAGGAGCAACTATTGTATTCTTGGCCAATGGGGCAAAAAAAGACGAGCTTGGAATACCTTGACTGTTGGGAATTTTACAGGTGAAGTTCTGATACGCTAGCTTTATCTATTTTACTCTATCTCTCATTCTTTGGCTGTGTTGTGGTACCCTTTTTATACACAATTGGCACGCAGCAACGAAAAAATCACGTATACGCTCTGTGTGGCAAATAAGCAGCGTGACAGTCAGCTAACAAAAAAGCATTGCTGTTGCTGCTGTTGCTGCTGCCACTGCCACTGCCACTGCTAACCACATCAGACCAACGGAAGTGCCATAAAAGTTAATGGCGGCGCACTGCAAAGCACATAATCTTGTACAATCTGGCGACCCCGAGGCGCTGCTGCTGCTGTTCCCGCAGTCTGTGTCTCAGCCAAAGGCGTGCTGCTGGCCAAAACCTAGTTATAAGCCAAATGTGCTGTAAGCCACATTTGCTTACTGTTTAACGCAGCACAGGCAACGCCAGCTGCCACCCGTTTAGTCGTCGAGTATGCTAGGCGCCGAGTTTTTTTTCTACTTTTTTCTCTGTTCTTTTTGGCACAAACAACACACAAAAATGTCATTCAACTTTTGCTCAGACATGTGACTGTTGTTGGCTGTTGCATGGCCGCTGTGAGCACGGCCTGCTGTTCAGTTTCATGCTAAACCGACATGCCACAGTCAAGTAATATGCCATAAATTGCCATACAGCAGTAGATTGTGATTGTTTAATGGCGAGCGTTTAGTTTAGCGACAAATATTGCAATTTATACACAAAAAGGATTCCATAATTTAGGTGAGGAAAAATATTTTTTAAAAATTAGGAATTCTAATTTGAATAATAATTTCAGATGCAAAGATGATCCAGGGCACTAATGGCAGTGGTCTAGTCAATACTGCCAGACTAGTAGGTACCCTAAATGGCTTCCTCTGTAGAAATGAAGCTTATATACAAGATTTAAATTTAAGAAATTTTTGGAATTTTTAGTTTTTTACTCAATTGAAATATATGTAGATTCATCTTAATGATTTTTAAACAAATTTTTGATTTTTAAAGAACATAAATTGAAAAAAATAAAAATAAAATCAAAATATAGATCTATAGATATATATATTTATAAATGTCATTAATCGTGATTCTGTGAGCGTTAAAAAGTTGTTAAAAATGCATATCAAAATTGCCAAAAATTAGATATTTCTAAAACACAGCTTAAATGATACAATCAGCCGCTCTATGCAGAGCAGTTTCTAATTTCTTTTGGTTCTTCCTTTGATTCGTTTTTTTATTCATTAATATTTAAAATATATTCAGCTTTTTATGTTGTTTTTTACTTGCAAAAACAATTTCATGCAGCTCTGAATAATTCATGATTATTGTATTCAAATGCTGCTGCTGCTGCTGCTGCTGTTGGCCAACAGAACCCGACAACAAAATAATATTAAAAAAAAAGAAAAAAGAAAGCCGCGAGCTAATAACAGGAAATTGCGCTTGGTTAATTCGTGGGGCTTTGCTCATATGTGGGCCAGGATACGCCATTTTGTATCTATATAATTAAGTGGGTTCAAAGTTTGCGGCTTATGTTTTTGATAGCGTGAAATGTGAAACTTTTTTTGTTGATGGGGCCGACAAGATAATAGCTAAAGGCAATGATAGCAGGTAGAAATTTATTAACGAAATGGATGGATAATTGGATTGAAGTTGACTTTTGCATCAGGCAAAATAATTAGTTTGAGTTTTTAATATTTATTATCAATAAATTAAATTGTATTTAAATGAAATTACGTGGGCAAAACTAATTGAACTTTGGAAATCAAAGCGAAGGGAAGAGAAGAGAAAGAAATTTTAAAGTAATATTATTTTTACTACTAATATTGCCCATTATTTAAGTCCCTAAAATCCTTTTTTGTTCTAACATTAAATCTGTTGAAATAGTCACAGGATATTTTTGATAAGTTGCATTTATATTTTAGGTAAATATTTTGGTAAATTTCACTAAAGATTTCTATTAGTAAGATTTGACCTATCGACTGCGACCTATTTTCAAATATATTTTAAAGCTATTTTCTCTGGTTATAAATTGCTCTATAAAATTAATTCACTTTCTCAAGTGGCACTTGTGTCATTTTCATGCGTTCAATTTTCTGGCATTTATTTGACTTTGTTTTTTGGATTTGTTTTTTTGACTTGTAAAACTTGTACAATTTACTTTTCGATGCTTCACAACTTGAACAATACTTCGTTGTTTACTGTTGTTGTGGTTGTTGTTATTGTTGTTTTTTCTCTCTAATGAAAACATATTTCACAGCAAAACTTCAGCTATTGATTTTCAACCCAAAAAAAAAAAGACGCAAAGCGGAACAGCTTTTGTGGTCTGTGAGACACGCGGAAAAAAAAAACAATTTAAGCAGCTGCTGCTTTATGCACGAGTACACACGCACACACATCCACACACATCAGTAGCGTGTATAAGTATGTGTGTGTATTCAAGTCAACGCTAAGAACCAAATTGATTTGCCAGAATCTTTTAATAACAGATGAAAGATAAGAAAAAAAACAGCTGCCTTACGTCGAAGTCAATGGCGGAAGTGGAAATGCGGCCTAAAAGATGCCTCCACACACAGGGGAATGCGGCCAATTAGCATGCCAGGTGGAAATGGGTGGTTTTTGGTTTGCGGCTTATTCAGGCATGTGTGCGTCTGTTGCTCGCTCGGGGCACGCAGCCTTGCTTCGAGTGCCTGCTATGGCCGTATTTCCGTTTCCGCTCTAAGCTTGTGCCTGACATTTGGCTGTTTCGTTTATTTGAACAATAAATTCATTTGTATATTTGATTTGCTGCTTGAAAATCAGCTACAGCATAAACTGGACGCCGGATGTTGCCTTTGTGGCATTCAAATAAACAAGTCAGTAAATCAGCAAGCGGTACTCACGTGTCGGATCAAAGCCGGTGATGAAGCCCGGACAGAGCTCATAGGCGGAGTCGCCGGCGCGCGTATCTGGCCAACAGAGCCAGCCATCAAAAGTGCCAGAGCAGTGCGGACCTAAAGATGAAATAAACAAATTGTACATTGAGTAATCTAGTGTGTGGCATGCTGCTTCTGGCTTACCTGTTAGTGAATGGCTGCTATTCAAATGCGCGTTGCAGGCCGCACGCAGTGCATCAAAATCAGGTCCACTTTCAGCGGCGCTGTTGGAAGTTGCGCTGTTGCTGCTGCCGCTGTTGTTGTTGTTGCCGCCGCTGCTGCTGCTGCTCTGCTCAGCCATTGCTTAACCGTTGCATGCAACTAAAAAGTATGCTGCAAGAGTGAGATGCAAAAGTGTTGCAATTAGTTTTTTGGGGTCGACTCGCTGGCTTTTAATATGTGGCCAATTCTGTTTGGGGGCAAGCGCTTAAATCTAGGCAAGGCTTTTATAACTTTTGTATGAATGCGTATGTATGAGTGTATATATGCATATGTGTATGTAGGTGTATATGTATGCGAGTGCGTGCTACTCACGCTTCATTGCTTGCATTCGCATATTTTTGTGTTTTACAGTTGGTTTGAGCCGCAATTTAATTGGTTTTGCGGCCAATTCGCTACGAATGCGGGTTGCTGTTGTTCTTGCTGTTATTGTATGTGCGTGTATGCTTAACGTATGCACAATTTATTCATTTTGTTATTTTAATGCCTTTCCTGAATTCAGCTGCGGGCAAACGCAATTTAATTCGAACGCCCAAAAGTATACAATTCATTTTTTATGTTCGCATTCGAAATGTTTACAGCAAATGCGCACTGTAAATTAAATATATATTAAAGTGGTATTTGAAATGCTTAATCAGTTGATATAAAAAAGAAATCCGATTGAGGAAAAGAAAAAAATTTCAAATTTGGAAGAGAAGAATTTAAGTTAAGGAAGAAATATTCAAACAAATTCCTAAGCAAATAATGGAATCAATTATTCGATATTTAGATATTTACTTAAATAATTTTAGTGAACTAAATTCCTCAAATTTGTATTTTAATTTCAAATACATTTGCTTATAAATTCCAATTGAAATAATGCTTAAATTTGTCACACGAAATTCCTTGCATACTAATGCTGGCTAACAGCTAGGCAAACATGAAAATAGCTTTGTCACATAGACCACCAAACATACACGCACGCACACATGCCCACTTATACACTGTCCAACTGTCGATAGGCAGCTGGAGCTGCGTTGTGCGTCGAGCCGGATGCGAGCCAAAGAGGAAGCCGAACCAAATAGTCCGAAACAAAGCGAAACTATAGCCACAACAACAGTCAACAGGCAGCTGAAAGCTAAAACCCAGTTAGCTGAGCACTGATTGCGTGTGAGGCGTGGCAGGGTGTCAGGCTGAAGGCTGAAGGCTGCAGGCTCTGGTGCACATGGCTGCAATCAAGCGTGGCGGGAAGATAAAATTAGGTTTAGAGTAGAATAGAGAGCTTAGCTGAACAAGTACGATTTGAGCGCTATTTGCGCTAGCAGCGGAATAAATACACGCACACATATACACACACGGAGAGAGGTACTTACATTCTTACACCTGCGTGTAATCTTATCGTTTAGGCAAATGGCTGTTGGCACTTAGAGCAGCAGCGAGCTAAAGCGCATTGAAATGAATTGTTGCAGGTGTTAAAACATAAGGATACTGCAGAAAGTGTTTAAGTTAGGGGAGTGTTTACTTTAGCTACATTGCTGTGTGCGTAACACTTAGTTGGGCATAAAATTATAAATATCAAAGGACAACAACGGCAACTGGCAGTTGATAAGGATAATGCATGTTTATATATTTATTATGCAACGCAACGCCAAAAGCTGAGCAGACAAATTTGTTTATTAACCGGCAAAAGCTATAAAAGTGCTGCCAATTTGCAGTAAGGTAAAGAGAGAGAGAGAGAGAGCGCGAGACGCAGAGGGTCAGTAACAGCTTGGTAGCACTTAAATTTTACGAGCCCGTAGGCGACAAACTTGCCAAGCTGATAAGAGAATGGGGGCGTGGCGAATGCGGCTAGGTGAGAGCATTAAGCCAAAAAGTTGAGCTATTGATAGAAGCATACGTTAAATGCGTGCAAAAAATATCAAAGCACACTTTGCAGCGTTTACTTTTAGTGGGCGTGCCAGAGCGCCCAGTGCTAATAAAAATATTTTTACGAGTGCGTACACACACACATAGACATTGGCAGCGGCCTGTGCACGCAAGGCAATAACAGAAATTAGTAATAAAAAATGCCTAGACCAAAAGCATGGCCCAAACACTCATCAGTTGGCAAACTGCGTGTGCAGCGGCAGGGGAAGCAACAACTTCAATAAAACTGGCAACACATAAAATGCCAAATGTAGAAGCCAGCAGATCAGAGCAGAGAGCATCTATTTGAGGCCTGCGGCACAGTGAAAAACAATGTTCGAATCGTAATTTACTTTTATTTTTCTCTTTTTATATTGCAACACATATTAACAGAGCATGGGAAACAAAAGGTAGCGAGGCGCATGAAATTTGTGTGGCTTTTGAACTGCATTTCGCAAGGTTTCGTACTGAGTTTTCATGACAGCTCTCAGCTCGCAGCTCGCATTTCCGACCCACGCACACGTGACGTATGAGTAATGAAAACGCGCACACACATACACATAGCTATGCTTGCTTTGATGGCTGCGCGTGTGTGTGTGCGTGGGTGTTATTTTCAATTCGTTGGCTGTCAAAACTTTCAGCAGCTATGTATGGTTTATTGCATATCTTTCAAGTAGTTTTTCATCTTACTTTCAAATAAATCAGTTTTATTTGCAATTTATTAGGCGCATATATCATAAGATCTCGCTTCCACTTTTCTCAAAAGCTTTTCCGCTGATTTATGCGGCTTCGCACATGCGTGTATTAAGCAAATATTAGCGTATGCTTCTTCAAATAAACAATCGGCACTTAAAAGCAATTAAAGATCGCATTCATTTTAATTTCCTATGCAATAAACATAAAAACTGAGCAGCCTCATGACCCCGCATATGTATTAAAACAAATAAATATATTTTTACTGTATATATGCATAGCTGATTGAATGTGGGCAGCAGCAGCAGTAGCAGAAGAAGAGTAGAAAAATATTCTTTGATACACACAATACAAAGGTTGTTTATTGTGCTTTTTATTTGTGTGTGCGTATGCTTGGATATTCAGTTTTTTTTAAGCATTGTCAACAGTGGGATTTGCTATGTAAAAATATTACAGCGTATCAATTGTTTACCATTGTTTGCATTCGGGGACATCTGTTATGCTATATTTTACCAATTTCGCATTGGATATAAACAAAAGGGGATTTGGCCGCACAACTGTTGCAAAATGCATTTAAAGGCTTAAATCAACAAATATGCATTTGCCAAATTGAAAGCAACAAGAGCAGCAAATGCAAATCCCTTTTTGATTTCACTCCACTCAAACTGCTGTCCATGGCCAATTTAGGCAAAGATTTCAGCTGCTATTTTCGTAATAGGCCACAATTTGTGTTGTGTAAATCGATTTTCAATCGTAAAGTGCGTATTACCCTGACTAGAATTTTACTCTGAGAATGCAAATCGAAACTCGATGAAAGATTTCTTTTTGAAATATGTAAGGTAAATAACTGAAGTCTTCACTGTTGATAGACCCAATCAATATAGCGCACCATATATATGAAAATATCTGTTGAGCAATATTTTCTGTAAAGGCAGCGCATGATTATTAATCAAATGTAAATTATCTTTTCACTATGAAATAAATAATAAATAACTGAAAGTTCATTTCAGTTATATGCCCCGTCAATTCGCATTCAATGAAACGCAGCTTGAGTTTTGCATTTAAATTTCAATTCAATTTAAATACACATAAATCACAGTAAAGCCGTAACCGCACGACTATAAGAAATATTACGCATACGCCACATTGAACAAGGCAAAAAAAGAAAAAGAGCCGCATTTAAGGTGCCGCTTATCGGGCGGAGTCGTTTCATATCTAACAAACCATATTTCATAAAATACATCTCACTGAAGCGGAAACTGCTTTAAACGTATGCTAGTCCCAACTGTCAGCTGTCATGGTAATGCATAATATTTGAGAGCTTGCCGCTGATTCATAGAGTAGAGCACGCATATTTGACGATTTGAAGTGCACACAAAGTAGCTAATATATCAAATAGAATGCGAGCAGTAAATGTGAAGCAGCTCAAATAGACCAAACGGAAATGCGCCACAGGATACATGTCTTTACATACATATATATATATATATATATATTTATATGTATGTATGTGCATACATGTATGTAGCTGGGTCGTTTAGACCCTCCGATGTCACAGCATAACACATGCTATTTATGTGTCCGTAGTGCGCTGCTAGGATTATGTCTGACAGGACAGCTGAGCAAATAACTCGACCAACTCCAGGCATAACAAAAAGAGAAGAAAAAACAAGCATTGATAGAAATTACTGTTGTTGCTGGTGCTGCTCAGTCAGCTGCTGTTGCTGGAGCATAACGCGCAGAGGCAATTTATTTATTTAGTACATGTTTTATTTTCGCTTCTCCACTTGGGGGCAGCCTCCCGCTTGCAGGGCTTAAAATCCAAATGGAATAATTTATAAACCACAGACAAGGTGCTTACGAGTTGCTTAGCGTGCGTTAAAGGTCAAAGTGTTTCGCTTTAAAACTGCACGGAAAGTGTTTGTGCAACGAGCCCGAGCGTGGCAGTCAGTGCATTCAGCTTGTGGCTTGCTTTGTGCCACATTTTGCCTTTGTTGCACGCTCGTACTCTCTGTCACAATTTGTGCCGCCTACTCATGCCATTTCTCCATTACTTTTTTTTCAAGAAAGAATTCCATGTACTACGTGCCTCAGCTCATTTTTTTTCCATGCGCTCGCCTTGTCAACAAAGTGCTGGGCATTGTTACGCATACGCCGTGTGGTACACGTTGGTTAGGCCCCCCAGGTTCATTGCTTCTCGCTTAACTAACCAGACAAGTTTTTGACTTGGGTTTGGGCTTTAGGCTTTTCAAAATGAAATACGTGCCACACGTGTTAAATGCGGCTCTTTACATACGGTTTGTTATCCCGAGCAACAATTGCACAATTTGACAAAGACCTCAAAGAGAGAGAGAGAGGAGAGAGGCAGAAGACTTTATATTTGCATATGTTGCCTTGTCACAAGCTGTGGCAACTTGTGTGTGAATGTGTGTGTGGGTGCGTGTAATGTGAGCCGTGCCTGCGCCTTCGCCTTCGCCTTCGCCTAAGCTGTTTGTTCTTTTAATTGTCATGCGGTTGTAAAGTCGAGCGTCCTTAAG